TCGTTATAACGAATTTAATTTGCTATTACAGATTCATTGAATTCGTTATCACGAATTTAATTTGTTATTACAGATTTTTTGAATTCGTTATCACTAATTTAATCTTTTATTATACATATTTTTTCAATACGTTATAACCAATTCAAGAATTTGGTTATAACGAATTCAACAAATCTGTAATAACAGATTAAACTCGTGATAACGAATTCAATAAATCTGTAATAGCAAATCAAATTCGTGATAACGAATTCAATGAATCTGTAATAGCAAATTAAATTCGTGATAACGAATTCAATGAATCTGTTATAACAAATTAAATTCGTTATAACGAATTCAATAAATCTGTTATAACAAATTAAATTCGTTATAACAAATTTTAAAAATCTGTTATAACAAATTAAATTCGTTATAACGAATTCTAAAAATCGTTATAACGAATTCAAAAATATTTTTTGATAGGTCCTAAATGGGCTTCCTTATTTCGTAGAAATCCGACTTATACTAAGATTTTTGATTTGATCTGGTTTTCGTAGATCTGTATACATTCAAATTTTGTCAAAAATAGTAATTTGTTTTATCAAATTAATAATTTGTTAAAACAAATCCGTAGTTTGTAGATATAAGAAGTTTTTAACAGTATAAATATGGACACAATTAAGATATGGTACATGCTATAGGAAAGGGTTTTTTTTAATTACAGGTATTCGTTACCGTGTATCCCCTCCCTGTACATGTGTTCGACAGAACTACAGCAAAACCAGGGGAGAAGGGGCCGGGGAGCACCTTCAAATGCACTCTAACCCACAGGTACTTGTGGACAGGACCCCCATCCCCCCGATATTCAACCCCCGGGGATTGTTGGACAATTTTTTCCCAATTATGCACTATAATCATTTTACATGATTGTATATTAAATACACTATAAACCTATATGTGATTTTACGGAAGCCCATTTAGGACCTATCAAAAAATATTTTTGAATTCGTTATAACGATTTTTTAGAATTCGTTATAACGAATTAAATTTGTTATAACAGATTTATTGAATTCGTTATAACGAATTTAATTTATTTTAACAGATTTATTAAATTCGTAATAACGAATTTAATTTGTTATAACAGATTCATTGAATTCGTTATTACGAATTTAATCTGTTATTACAGATTTGTTGAATTCGTTATAACGAATTTAATCTGTTATTTTTGTTGAATTCGTTATAACGAATTTAATCTGTTATTACAGATTTGTTGAATTCGTTCTCTCGTTGAATTAGTTATAACGAATTCAACAAATCTGTAATAACAGATTAAATTCGTATAACGAATTCAATAAATCTGTAATAACAAATTAAATTCGTTATAACGAATTCAATGAATCTGTAATAACAAATTTAATTCGTTATAACGTATTTTAAAAGGCTGTAATAACAAATTAAATTCGTTATAACGAATTCTAAAAGGCTGTTAAAACAAATTAAATTCGTTATAACGAATTCTAAAAATTTGTTATAACAAATTAAATTCGTTATAACGAATTCTAAAAATCGTTATAACGAATTCAAAAATATTTTTGATAGGTCCTAAATGGGCTTCCGTATGATTTTCAACCCTGTGGTGTAAAAATTCTGTGGAGAAAAACTTCACATAACTATATCAGCAACATATTGGGTAAATAAACCCTTCGACAGAATACATGTATATGAGTTATTTAACCCCATGGGGAAAAACGTAAACCCCTTGGGTATTTGTGGGCTTTTTGTGGGGTATTTTTAAGTTCATGTTTCCCCATCATGGGATTTTTTTTAAAATCAAATATCTCAAAAACTAGCAGGAAATGTTGAATTTTTTTTCCATAGCCTAAATCAATTTGATTATAAAAACCCCACCAGAAAAAAAACCCTACATGATGATAGCTTTAAAGGTAAGGGTGCGCAACTTCGGAAAAATGTCCATTCCGAAGTTGTCCGTCCCACTGTTCATAACGTGTACATTATATGGGTCTGATAACTGTGGCGGTATAATGAATTTTGAAAAACCATGCAGGGACCAATATATTAAATTGTAGGTCTCTGGAAAAACATAACGTAGTATATAAGTTCAGCTTTTTGAAAGAGAGCAGCCAGAGAAAAAAATTCAACTCACCTGAGAAAAAAGAAAAAAAAAAAAAAAAAGATTTTACTGAAAGAAAAGAAAAATTCCAAAAATCCTATTTAGTTGTGGATGGGGGAGAGATTGGTGCCCTGCTTTCAGTACACAATTTTATTCACTCACTACAACTTTACTCATTTGACAACAAAAGGCGGAGCACAACCATTCAATGATCATTTTCAAGCAAATGGGAATTTGCCCCCCCCCCCCGTTTCAGGCCGTTTGTGTCGGTTTTATATTAATGATGACATGTAAATCAGTTATTCATAATTATATGATACATATACAAGTGACAGTGTACATGAACTATTCAATGAACACAACTGAGGGCCAAGCTGATTATGCCCAAAAACTAGTCGACCATGCGTAGGTCAAATAGCCATAGCCCAAAATGTCTGGGGGTCGAATTCGCTCCGAACCCGAAATTCGGAATTATTCACGGTATCGATAGCGCCGAGGTTTACCGAATGGGGACCTTCACTTTGGAAGCACGTTTGTGAGAAAATGAATATTAATTTTTGGAAAAGATGCGAGAGTTTAGTTAAACAAGTTAACATATGTTGTTCATCAGTGAACTTATCAACAGGTAGACTACTTGCTGTTATAATATTGTCTGCATTGAGGAAAATGGAATGTACACTGCGATAGTCTTACAGCATCTCGAATTTCCTCGCATTGAATTTACAAAATTATAGGCGTTTTCTCTCTAAAGTTTCATATTTTAAAAGTCATATAAATACAATTTTACTTAACCAGGGACTTATATACTAGTATATAGGTTCCTGACTTAACCAACTGATAATCGATAACCAAACGCATTCAAAACAATATTGCAAGATAATATAGGCAAGTCATATGCAAATATATATTTCTAACAAAAAATACACTTTCATATGCATAAAAATTGAATCCACATTTAAAGAAATTGAGAAAAGGAACAGCTGAGCAGAGACATAATTAAAACTAAAAGAGATTTTCTACTCCACCATGAACATGATTGTTAACCGAAATATGTGACGGTCCTTGTATTATCCTAAGAATAGAATAAATGACAAGTAGGGTGAATTCACCATGCATCGGACACATACCTTGCATCGGACAACTTTAGACAATAAACTCTCTTTCAACTTAAGAGTTCCGTGTATTTATTTGTTTCTGTCTTGAAGCTGAAGACTTAAATTTTTTAATGATACCGATTGTTATTATCATGTTGTGATAAAAATACCCCGAGAATGGCCTTGAAGTTACGTCATATTTTACATCATCAAAGGGGAACAACCAGGAATTTAAGATTTTGCGATTTTTAGAGTTATCGTTCTTAAAATTCGACTTCAACGGAACGAGGCAGACTTTGGTGAATAAAGTCAAAGATTGATAATTTTACATAAATTTTAAAGAAATTTCACTTCAATGTTCGTATAATTCTTTTAAAAGCTGGTTTTCACTAGTATGTTCATTTCTCCGTACATCGGACACAAATTAACCATGCATCGGACACTTTCCGATGCAAAGGTAAGCACTACCATTTTCATACAGAACCCAGCTGATAGCTGTTTTTTGCGGAAAAGGAAAACAAAAACTCTATATTTTCAGTCAAAATACAGGTTATCGATGTATGATGTCTGGAATTTGACTCAATTTATTTCTACAAACCAGAGTATGATAAACCATGAAAAAAGGCGCGAATTACCGCATTATAGGCATTTTAAAGCATTTTTAAGGCAGAGTGAGGTCTCTTGAATCGTTCTACATTTGTGAAACGATATCGTCAATTAGATTTAAATTGAGGGTTAATTCTTAGATAAAAGATAAAAATATATCCATATCAAGGATTTTAAAGCACTTTAATAAAGGTATGATATTTATCCAGTCAAAATACCGTCTGTCCGATGCATGGTAAACAATGTCCGATCCATGGTGAATTTTGAGTTATTCCTAAAAACTCGATTTTTGAGGATATTTTCTAAATAAAAGGCATATAATTGTGTCCCAAATTGATATTTTAATCACAAACTAAATGTTAAACTCCATTTTGATAATTTTCCGTCGGTAGCGATATCGCTAGAACTTGTTGAAGTACAAGGGTATCCGATGCATGGTGAATTCACCCTAGTTATTGGACAGACACTTAGAACTGTGTACCAGGCCTTTCAAAATCTTCTGGTACATGTTTTTTAACCCGACTCACTGATGGAGAAATATTTAATACCATATAATTTAATTCATAATTGCTTTCATTAGGTATACTCCTATTTTTATAAAAGTACGACCTTCTACATGTGATGTCTGTGAGATTCTTTTAACATGATAAAAAAACAAGCATTCTAAGAGTATTGCATAGCAATACATGTCCCCTACCAGGTTCCCCTTTTCTCTTTAGGATAGAAGCTCGTTTGGAATATTAATTTAGTGCATCGTGAACCCGATCGCAATCCCAATTATTAAAAATTAAAAAAGCCATAATTCCATAAAAAATCAAGGACCCGGAATGATATTCAAACCTGATCTGTAACTCATCAAGATACACTCACAAAATAAAAATCAGCTCAATATCTGCAAGCTTTTAGAAAACATATGTGGAAAACCAAGTGGGACAGACAAACAGACAGATGGAAGGACAGCTAGACGGACTGACAGACTCGGAGGAAACCTATAGTCCCCTCCGGTTTCACCGGTAGGGGACTAATAAATGACATGACATAAGATTATTAACCAGAGTTTAAATGCTTCTGACAATGTTTAGAAATGTCTACATTAATCTGTTAAATTTACCACAGGTTCTGTGCTGAGGAAGAGAGGACAAGGTGTGTTCAGACCTTCCGTGTCCTACAGTGTAAAAAGATACTTCCACCTACAGTCTGTCTGTCTGGCCAACAGGTGAGACTGGTCTTCTTAATCAAGGAAAAACTATTCTGATTTCATACAATTATGTCAGAAGGGAGTCATCATTTCAAGGGTTGAGACATAGTAAAACTAAGATTTCCTTCTTTTGATGTAATCAGTGATTTGTTTGTTAAATTTTATCCATTTTTCTTCAGGGTGAAGGAAGCAGGTGATCTTACTGTTACACAAACAGAGACTGATACGAAGACGGAAGGTAACTGTTGACTGCTGTATCTTTATATCATCATGATCATGCAGTGGATGTCATTTACATTAGAACTCTTTAGAAATGACAAAAATATAAAGGGTTAAAGTCAGGGATAATTAAAGGTTGTAAGTCATGTAACTGCAGCCCATGAAGCACTGTTGTCAGAATGCAAGGAAAATGCAGGATGGAATATCTTTAACTAGAGGTCAAAGAGTATAGTATAAAATACAGTTAGATACCATGGATATGTCAAAGTGATTTCGAAATACATGCACCAACCACTTGATATTTAAGTTATAATAATTATTTGAATTTAGAAAGAAAAAGTTTGTGTTATTTATCCTTAAAATGAAAAAGCTTATACCTACCCAGCTTTCTACTGTGAAAAAATGTAGGTTAGACTAATGAAAAAAAAAAGATTGATAAATCATACTTGTCTGTAATTGAAAATAAACTGAATTGAATTGAACATATTTTATTGACAATTAAAGCCAAAAGGATAAGACACAAGTTCTGACAACTTAGATAGTCTTCTCCTCATACAAAATTTTTATAATATTGCCAAAATGAAGAACAATTATTTTCAGTAACAATTAGTAGTGTCAAAGACAGTAAACTCTTGATACCAGAACACAATACTATATATACAAAAAATTAAGATTTTTCAGAGAATCGACCACACTCTTTTAAAAAGGTATGAATAACTTTAAAAATTTCTACATTTTGTCGATCAGAGAATGAATCAACACCCCATAACATCAAATGAACATCTATAATGTACAAATTGTTGAATGATAATAACTTATTCATTAGAGAATATCTTGCTGTTGCATATTTTCTACAAACAAAAAACAAATGATAGGAATCCTCTATTTGTCCACATGAGCAATTCGGACTGTCAATTAAATTACAGCGAAATAGGTCAGAATTTAAAATACAATTATGTCTTAACCTTATGTGAATAATATTCCAAAATCTCTTACCAAAAGAAAAATACTTTGGAGGTTTTACAATATTGCTTGACAAGCATTTTTTAAAACTTTTCATAGAAGTTGCCACCCTTATGTTAATTTTAATTGCATTCCACTTTCTAACAGTATCTGGAATAAAGGATTTATTGAATAATTCTAGTCTGCATTTTGGCAAGGAATAATTGGAGGAATTTCTAGTAGAGTATTGTGAAATGTTGCCTCTAATATCAGGTACTATATTTTGAATATAAGTAGGTACTAAATTATTGTGTATTTTGTACATTGTTACTAGATTTGTTCGATTTCTTCTATTTTCCAATGGTTCCCATCCAGTTTCCAGATAAAGTGAATTTTTAGAAGCAATGAGTGTAAGACCTGTTACAATTCTAGCAGCAAATAGTTGAACTTTCTCAAGCTTTTCTATGTCTGCCTTTGTACACCCCGACCAAACTTCAACTGCATATTCCAGTTGTGGTCTGATAAAAGAAATATACATCTGGGACAAAATATCCCTTGACACATTAAATTTTAGTTTTTTCAGTAAACCAAGTTTTTTGTAAGCCTTCTTTACAATGATATCAATATGATCAGACCATCCCACGACTACATACAGCATTCCTTTTTGTAGAAATTACTGAGGCTATAAACAGTCGTATTGACTCGGAGGACCTTGGGAGGCTATTTGCCGTGGTTCATTTGGCAGGGTTCCAGAGAAAGGTCACCGTGAATGACATTGTTGTCGTGGAGACCAGCTCCTTCCCTACCGTCGGCACCAGAATAAGACTGGAAAAGGTCAGTATCAGAGAATCAAAGAGTTTGAAAGGCAATGTGGTGGTTATTCATACCGGTAGGTCACAGTAAGCTATGTGATGCTATGTGATGCTCAACTGCAGTATAGAGATGTCAGTCAGTAATAGAGGAACAAAGAGTTTGAGAGGTAACACTGTGGTTGTTCATAGGTTACAGTTAGCTAGGTTATTCTCAATTGCTATATGCAGAGAATATTATCTCAGATCATTAAAATTTCTTATGCAATGAAGCATGGTTCTTGCAATTCACTTAAGACAGTTAAAATTGCTTTCTTTTTGTCCATAATTCAGTGATTGTTTGTTATATAGATCTACAGGTGTATATTCCAATATTCCACATGTGATATTAAAAATACAATCTCAGTGTTAACATGAATATATGCAAGTTTGCCAAATAGTGATTCACTGTTCAATAAGATGTTGAATTTGAGTTTTTAAAATCTCTTATTTAGTTTTACAGTACAACGCTGACTTATTGGTTTGTTTTAGGTACTGTTGGTGGGCAGTAAAGATTTCACACTGGTGGGAAGGCCAATCCTCAGGTACAGTACACATGCAGCAGTGTGTTATATCTTCATAAAAGTTTTGAAAAGACCACAGGCATCAGTATCTTGTAACCTCATAAGAGTAAGAGAAGACCACAGACATGCAATTAAAAAATGTTTTATTTCAGTCATTCTGTGGTTAACATGAGTGTTCTATGAGTTTAAGCTTTGGGAATGTTTTATTTCATTTCAGTCAATCTGTGGTTAACATAGAGGCCACTGTCATAGAAAAGACACTGTCTCCCATGGTGATTTCCTTCCTGTTTGTCCGCAGAAAACGCGTCAGGAAAACCAGGAGTGAGTATTAAAAGAACAGCGTTACAAGTTTTAGTGTTACAGCTAGGTAACAGACTCCAATATAATATACATCAGCCAATGCAGAGGCCTGGGCTAAGCAATTATAGCATCATATTCAAACAAAACAAGTGAATGAATACTGTATACAGTATTATTTATTTTGCACTGCTTTATTTTTGCCCTTTCACACTTGCAAACAATTTTTCCCTGTGTTAAATTCACCCAGTCACAGTTTTGCATACGAAATTGTACTATATTTTTTAATAACCCCAGCTGAAGTTAGGGCGAAAAGGGTGAAAATAAAAAGGGGACGAAAATTTCCCTGTATACAGTATAGTTTTTTTCATACACACTCAAATACTTTTGTTTCCTATTTTTATCTTAAATTGAAATAATGTGCAACTTATCTTGCTATAGTAACATTAAGCAAATATAGAATATAGACTGATTGAAAAGTCTGTTCTGAACTGACTGAGATGCATGATATCACAGACTTGTTCCACATGCAGTTTCTTTTGAAGTTAAGGAGTGTATGAAGCATTTACATGAAAATTATATTGAACTAATGTAATCTAACATTGCCATGTAAAAGATGACATGCATAAAGTTTAAGTGATATACACTGTATTTCGGTAAAGAGTTTTCAAAATATTTTCTTTTTTTTTTCAGTGCAAAAGAATCAGCAGACAGTGTTACTGATAAATTCTATAGAAGTGAACCCCATAAAAAATTGATTTCTGCAGCCATTAAAGTGATTGACATATAAAGCATCTGCTTAGGCCTACAGTACATATATAAAAGCAGTAGGAATAGTTAGACCAGTGCCTGTGACAGATGTGTTTTCCATTTTGACACCATGTGTTGTTTATATACATTATGGATTAATTATGGGAAGAAACAGTAATTCAGCCATGTTATTACTCATGTATCATGTCAAATGAGAAAATACATTGCTTTTTGTATTGGTCATTAAAATATCAATTTTGCCACGTAACATAACATTGGCTAATCTGACCCATGTATTTGTGTAGGTGCCTGTAAGAAATGTTTTTTTTGGTTGTAAATAAATTGTAATCATGACTAAAATAATTGTTAATATGGTGCACTTTAACTGGGAATATTCCTTATTAGTGGAAATATTGCCCAAAAGAGGAAACTTTACAGAATTAACAATGCATGTAAAAGTTAAGTTGGTTTATTAAATGTTGAAATAAAATAATAAATTAATTTTGTAAATACACCAGACCTGTTTACTCTTACGATTTTGCTGTATTTTATACGGATTTTTGGTCCAAAATACGTCTCACGTTTTGCTATTATGAAAATATGGAGATACACTTGTTTAGAAGTTAGTTTTCGTTATGATCTATCTCAGTTTCATGCTTTTTAATCGCTTAAAAAGATTTCAAACACAGTTATGTCAGTTTGCCAAAACACTGTGGTATAAAATGATCAATACCATGTCATTAAACCCAGTTTTTAGCAGTCAGAAAAGCTTTTGTTCTCCATTTTTTGTGTAAAATTGATGAAAAAGTGAAATTTTACTGGCAAATGCCAAATCTCACGAACAAATCTAATTAAAACTAGTAGACTAATTGTTCTCGAACAATTAGAGGTCTTTCCACCTCTTTAAATTTTCTTATATTTTTTATATTTTACTCTCTAAATTTAATTTTTAAGAAATATGGCTTGAAAGATAGAGAAATTTTTTAAAAAATAAAAATTTGAAATGACCTTGACCTTTGACCTTGATCAGATCCCCAAGGTCAAAGGTCAAGGGTCACATTGTAATTGACCCCATGTCTCTAGGACTTATATTTTTAAAGTTATAAGGTTTACTAGTAAGCACAAAGGCATTAAAGGGTGATAACTCATATAAGGGGTCATCAGATCCTTACGCAATGATACAATGAAGTTGTACCTTAAGACCCTGAAGACATTAGTGAAGGTTTCGTGCCTCTACGGTTTACAGTTTTGGAGGAGTAGCGATAACAAGTTTTTTCGCACAAAGGGCAATAACTTCCAAGAGGGTCAATCAAAGGGGACAAGAATGAAATCTTTAAAATAGTTTTAAAAGTACATATCAGTGATGCAAAGACATAAAGTATATGTTGAAAGACAGAAGAGTTATAAAAAGAGCTTTATTTCTCTTTTTTGGAATGACCTTTGCATAAATTTCAAGGTCAAAGGTCAATGAATCTAATGCAGTTGGTCCCATGTCTCTACAACTTCTTGTTTTGAAAATTTTTAACTATTTGTAAAATTCAAAAAGTTTCAGGGGCATTGAAGGGGTCTACGAATCTTTTCGCAATGTATAGATTGAAAGGTCCTCTCAAGTAGTCGCAGACATTGGTAAAGAATCCTCTGAGGTTTCGGAGGAGTAGCGATAACAAGCATTTCTTGCGAAAGGGGCAATAACTTCGAAAGGGGTCATAGTTCATACGCGTTGGGTCAAATTTGTTCTTAACTTTTAATGACCTTTACGATGAACAAAAAGTCTTTTCGATAAATGTCGAAACAAAAAATCAGCAGAAGAAAATAAGAAGTAGAAGAAGAAGAATAAGAAACAGAAGAAAATCAATAAGTCTTTCCACAGAAAGGTGGAAAGACCTAAATACTGAGAGACAACGATATGGGTAAACAGGTCTGATACACTAAAATCCCAGACTTTATGAAGATGAGACCATTGAACAGGTTCTAGCTGTTTGCCCAATTGGTTCAATGTCTTACTTCTTTTGACCGCAGTCTACTGTCAGATTATACAATTCACTCTGCCTGGGCAAAGACTAATAAATAAAACCATTACACTACAGTTCTGCAGAAACTTGATTAGAAGAGCACCTGCATTCAAATACTGGTTTGCCTCAAATTAGATGTATATTTTAATGTATAGGTGGATGGGAAAACAACATGAACTTCGGGAACTCACTAGTCATAAGGCCTTGGGGCCATAAAACTTCAATGATGTAACTTTTGATCTCAATCTCACTTTAAGTTTCAAAACAAATACATTTTATTCATTGAATTAGATTGAACAGCAGACATAAATGCTTATGATCGTTCTCTCCATATTTTTCCACTATATACTAGTATTCTTTAGGTTTTGAGACAGAGATCAAAAGTGAGCTTGACTAAGTTTTATGGCCCCCAGGTCAGGTACAATGTGAGCTACTGAGGCCAATGTCTACAATACAAACCATTACATCTGTAAAGTTACCGGTAAAGGCAATATCACTATAATCAATCAGGCAGAAGAGGTGAAAAGAAAAAACAAAAACAGACTGAAGTTAATCAATGACTTGTATTTATTTCATATTAATTAGGAAAACCATTAACATTTTCTAGAATAAAAAAATCACAAATAAAACATAACTTACATAAATTGAGAGCAAAAAACAAAGCATATTACATTTAACAATATCTATGATCATTTGATTCAAGTGAGAAATACAGTCAAACTGTAGTTCTTAGTGTACACATGTAGGAGAATATTACATGTACATGTATCATCAGATACTGTGGAATCATCAATGTTTGGGGGGGGGGGGGGCATATGTTTGTGGACTTGGTTGGTCACCCGTGTACATGACTTTACATCCTCACAAACAATTCTTTTGTATACATACTTGTTAATCTTATTAAATCTTCTGAATAATCGCGTTGCACAAAAAATTAAGTCCCTACACACCAACAAAATTGTACTCCTCTCCTCCACAAACATAGAATCCCATGAATTAAAATTATTCCACAGTATAAATATATATACATATATACCATAAATTGAAATGCCTGAAAAGTTTAGAATCCATTTTCACAGCCATCAAAAAGATCACAGATGAAATAAATATGTATTAAGAAGGCCCACAATGCTCGCACAAAAAGCTGAAAAATGTGTTGTGACCTGTAGGTTATAAAAAGGCTGGTTCTTGAATATTGATCAAATACAGAGAGACTTGATACAATAAATAAAATCAAGGTTGTTTAATATCTAGAAATTAATACATGTACAAGCATTTTCAAAAAAACAAATTTGGGTCTCTACAACATTTTTTTTTCCACATATGTTTATGAGTAATAAATAAAATATCTATATAATGAAGAATTCTTCCACCTTGAAGTGAAGCACTTGTTCATGTTTTACAACATAGATCTATAATGAATTACTGCAATATTTATGACATACAGTGAAAATATGAATGGTGAAAGCACTTGTAGCACATAAATATAACTATCAAATACATGTATCAAGAAAAAATTCAGTAGGCCAGTACCATAAGAGTGGACTCTTACTCTGTTAGCACTTGACAAGTAATGAATTTAAAGGAAAACAACTTTTCTATATTTATAAAATATTTACAAAGGTTAAATTATATAATAGATTCTAGATATAAATAATTCATATTTTATAATAAAAATAAGCTGTGATTTGAAATTTTTGTAATTTTATGTCTTAGTTAATTCAGTTATAGGAAAATACCAAAAAAAAAAAACACATCAAATAATACAAGCTGTAAACTTTCTGGTACTTGTAAAAAAAATCATATCTACATATGTACAGGTTGAATATATAATTATATATACATGTATAAAGTTACATGAAAAAATTGCCCTGTTTAGTAATACCACATAAAGATGATCATTAGGTCTCTCTGACTAGGTCAATACATAAGAAGTTCCACTTGCAATGCTTGGATATACATACACATATACATGTATATATATAACTGCTTCCACCAAAGACAAAAAGACATGATTCTTCATCTTTTTGTGGTGCTCATCTTCTTTTTGTTCATCATGACCTCATTAAGCATGAAGTTGATAATGCAGACAAAGAAATCATTCTTTGTTGATATGATTTCTTCAGAGTAGGTGGTGTTATGAAATATGATATCGGTGGATCAAATGAGGAGGATCAGAAAGTTTCTGAAGTTTGGGTGTGGATCAGAAGTGTTGTCTGAAGTTCGGGGGTGTAAGCTCCACTGACGTGTAATACAGGACATAGGCCGAGGAAGTCTGTTTGAAGAAAAAATGGTTGTCAATATTTACACAATTAAGAGGTTTGTGATGCACAAAATGACTGGTACATGTACATCATTCAGAGTTCACACTTACTGGTAAAAACTTTTTCATGTATTTTTCACTTTAACTGTAAAGCATGTGGTTCATATAGTTTTTTTTCTAAATTTTAGCATTAAATCAGCATAATCTCTAAATGACACTCACCCTGACAGCTGACTCTGATATCTCAGACACGTGATCGTCATCGTACTTATACCAGTTCTGTGTACATGGATTACGACAATAGGCTGTATCTAAAGACAACAAAACATTAACATCTGATGAACCTTGTTGTATACATGTACAATTGAAACTATTTCTCCAATAAATGGATGCTGTTTATGTTTTTTGTCCCCCGCTTGAAAAGTGGGGGATATTAATTTGGGTTTGTCCGTCCGTCCGTCCGTCTTTCTGTCTGTCTGTAACGCTTTCGTTTCCACACGATATCTCGAGAACCCTTTGAGCTTTTGTAATGAAATTTAGCATAGCAACTCCCTATGGACTAAAGAAGACCCCTATTGATTTTGAGGTCAAAAGGTCAAAGGTCAAGGTCATAAATAAGCAAATTCTGTCTGTTAAAACACTTTCGTTTCCACACGATATCTCGAGAACCATTTGAGCTATTGCAATGAAATAACATATAATATATAACAACTCCATGTGGCCTAATGAAGACCCCTATTGATTTTGAGGTCAAAAGGTCAAAGTTCAAGGTCATAAATTTATACATTCTGTCTGTATGTAATACTATCATTTCCGGGCAATATTTCAAGAAGATTTTGAGCTTATGCAATGTAATTTTATACCAAAACTCCCTAGGACGTCTCTCGCCCCTCTCAAAGTGCCCCGCCCCGTTTGTTTTATTAGTATTTATAGTATTACATGTCGCTATTTTTAGCGCATGGGCATGAGGAGAGTTATTGCGTATAAAACAGGTTCTCGGCGGACTTTATGTTCTTATTACATCTATTAGAACTGTTTAATAAAGGCTAAATAGATCATACACCATGGATTGTGTAAAATTTTGAGAATACCGAACATGAAAACACGAATATATAAAAACATGAATATATACATGTATGTGACTTCAATTCTGCATATACTTCATTGCGCGTAAAGCGATTCCGTGGTCTAGTGGTTATGTCTCTCGCTTTAAATGTGAGAGGACCCGGGATCGAATCTCGGCCGATCCTTTCTTTTTCTTTTTTTTTTTTTAATACTTTTTTTTTCTACTAAATGATAGTATTCAGCATGTGAAATGAAAAATTTATGAGGTTATAAAATCATCTTTACAGTGTGATAAATATTCCATATAAAAAAATCTTCTATACACATAATAAAGAATAAGCAATCAAATCTTTATATATGCATATTGACATACATGTATTTTATTTGCTTCAGTATTCATGTATACATTTAATAGTTCTACAAATTCAGTCAGGGGGAGCCGACTTTATCCCTATATAAGCGGGGGACACGAATTCTCTGAATTAGCTTGTTTTCCTTTTTATAAGCCTCTTAAAAATAAAATAATATGTATATATTTATAGTGTCAGTAAAAAATCTAGTTACCGGTAATTTTCATTAAATAAATTTGCAAAGGGAAATGGATAAAATGCAACAGAACTGTACTTACAATGTCCTCCATCTAATGTGCCAGTGTGATTCTGAAAGAAACATCAAATATCAATTACATACCCATTAAAGTGAACTTACTTTGCAAGTATTATCGCTCTGTAAAATGCATTTTTAAAACTACACAAATTTTTGCAAAAATATTTGAAACATTGCAATCTTTAATTTGCACAGTACTATTTTTGTACTTCTATAATGCTAATTCGAGTTGTGTATGTATCTAGAGAGTAAAATACTGGTGAGAATTTTATGTGAATTAATTTTTTTGGTGACCTGAAAATGATGCAAGGGATGCGAAAATGGATTTATTGTAGAAATTACTTGCATTGGTATTTTCAAAATATGACTTATACTGAAAGGAAAAAGAAACGCATAATAGCATAATAGCGAAATATACTTAACTATGTGGCCGAAAATTATGAAAATTGGTCAAATGTGTATTTTGATTACTGTGCACTAAAATCGCTGGTCAAAATTACTCAACCATGAAATGTATGGTGTCACGTAGGGGAAGTGATAAAATGCCAAATACACGTGCATGTTGATGATGACAATTTTGTGATCACATTTTGTAGTGCCAAGAGATGCATTAGAGTTATAGACATCGTTTTTCGGTATTTGCAGTCAGTAAAATTTTCTTGCAATCATGGTATTGTTGACGGAAGTTACATGGGGTCTAGTAATTGAGTTGCATATCTGAATAAAAAGGCAACAACATATTGTTGTGCAGTTTGTTTTTAACTTCTCAATCAAAAAAGGTTTTTCGGTTGTCAGAGAGTAACTTGAAATTTTCCAACCAATCATGACAGTGACGTTGGCGCGTAACAACGTCACATCAAAAGAGGGCTTTTCATCATGCAATCTCGGTTACTGTCAAGTCATTACCACTGAAACCGATATTTTTACAGCAGACAATCATACTCATATTTTCACCACAATACTGACTGAAACTCTCTGCTCTAATTTGGTATGCAAGCTTGGCAACTTTTCGTCCATTTAACTCTCACACGCGCACGTACGCGCCGAATGCGTAACGTTTTTTAGCATGTTCACGCTGAGAAAATGTAGCCAGTGTTTGTCGAGACTTCCTTACAAACATTCACGAGTACCAATCAGCTAGATTCTATAATTTCTATCTTAAATCGAAAATTCGTGAAATTCATTGGGCGGGGGGATTTGTTAGCTTTTGAATAACACAGCTACTCTCAACCATTAAGACTACCGTCGGAAGGCTTGAATGATAATCCTATGAGAAAGATAAATGTTCCGGTGAACTCAATGCTCAAGAAAATCAAAGCTGTTACTGATGCGCAAGGGAGATGATGAGAATTTTTGTTTTAATTTTTTGGGGTATCGACATATCAATTTCAATAACTCAGGAATTATAAGTCAAAGTCACACAAGATTTCGATTACTTGTTGTTTAAAGGTGGATTAAATTGTTTGATAACAATACTCGAAAACATATTGGAAATAAAAGTTTTAATTTTATTCAAAAGTTAATTATGCGTTTCTTTTTCCTTTCAGTATATTTGTATTCACTTCTAATCAAGAAGCATGATGATAATGATTATGTCTGCATAATAAAAATTATTCTGCAGGTAAAGCTATTTTTCTATTACCAATTTCTTATCACTTACTGAGGTAGCATAAAGTTTGTAGATAGTCTTTGAAGATTTTGGTCCATCTAAGTATGGGTTCAAATCAAGGTTCTTAGAGGGGAAATCCACATGGCTGTTTATCTTTTCTCTCCATTGACCCTTATATACAAATCTACAAATAGTGGGACAAAATCCTGACATATAGCATATAGATCATAATTATACTAAAAATTCAGTACAATGAATATTGATAAAGTAATGCTGTAAGCTTCTAAGATATCAAAGATTTAATTATATGAACTGTGAACTACTAACTTATTTGTGTGGTTGTTAAATTTTCTTAGTTTGCAGACTCATTTTAAATTGCAGGGATATGATTAATTGATTGAAATTAGAAGTGTTGAATTTCAATATTTTATAGGGAACATGAATTCAATGGTCTCTTCATACCACAAAAAAATCCCCCCTTCCTTTTGAAAGTTATTGATTCTCCATTACATTGTACTACAGTTCTCTTTACCTGTTGAGCCCTATAAGGAGAATTCTGGGTAGCCTCCAGATGTCAATTTTCTTGACAGCGTCACGGTCGACTTTACATCGCGGACAGCGCCACCTACTACTTCCTGTCAGTTTCTCCTCCTTAAGGAACAACCTCAGGCATTCCTGATCAAATAAAATAGAAATGTGCACTAAATTTAATCTGTACATTTATATCCTATTTATGGATAATACATGTTGATTCAAGCTTTAAAAGAAAGAAAGAACAAAATACATGAATAAGAGTTTCTCTAGCAATTCAGGAGAATTTATCTAGTTTAAATAAAGCAAAAATATACTTGACATCTATTTGTATGTACATATATGAAATAAAACAAAGTGAAGATGAAGAATACTTAATCTGAGATTTCATTGTGAGAGAGGGGCAGAAAGGAGGATTGAAGTTCACACTCAGTTAACATTCACATGTACACATATTCCAAGGCTAATACAGGGATAATTTAACATGTAAGGACTTACCCTAAGTTTTACATGTACTAAGGATAATGTGGACTTACCCCAAAGCTAACAGATAATATAGACTTACCCCCAGACTACATCGTGATGAGGGAGGGAGGGGGAGAGTGAGGAACATGAAAGCCTGGAAATTGACGGACATCTTCTGACAGTGTAGACACATCAGTGTGGACTTCAGCTGCCCCTGTAAATGGTAGATAATTTTAGTTTTCTAAAATTATTCAACAGTCATATTATACAGGTATTTACATTAGCAGAAGTATTACATGTACTTGTACAGGTATAGCATGTTACAATTTTTGTACAAATCATTCATCCAAATCTAAGACTCTTGAGCAAAGTATGCAAATTTATTAAAATTTATAGATTTATATGCAGCTCAGTCTGGAACCAATCACATGACTCCCTAATAGATAATTAGTAAATTTACAGTACTCAAAGACCCTATATCTTTAGTGTCAACCACAGAGAGCTACATAAACAGACAAGAAGATGATACCTGGAACAGCTCTACAATGATGGACTCGTTACACATTTGGTGGTGTTTCCAGGCTAGCTCGGCGGCCTGCTGGTCTGGCAGATGATCATTCTCCTGCTCTGGGATCTCAGGACGCTTCTTAACCTAAACAATCAATTACAAACACATCTATACATTTTCTGTTACAAAAACTCCATAATTTTTTTCACCAATTTTTTACTCTCTGTTTATATGCTTACACTGTAATCACAGTTATTCATGATTGCATGACTAGCTAAGACTAAATTGAATCAAAAATTTTTGTTTGAAGCTGATATCAAATGTAACAGTACCACTGAGTAGAGATTTCCAAAAAACATGCTTCTTGTAGGTTTATATTTTATTTAATATTAAACAACCATGGACTTTCCTCGACATAAAAGTTTTCTTGTCAGTAAGAATGAGTTATCAGTACATGGGGTGACACTAGTTAAGAACTGACCTTGTTGAGTCCCTCATGAAGTCCATCCATCAGAAACGTCAGGAAATCATGGCTGTCCTGCTGTGTGGTCCCCGCAAAATCTGGATTGTGTTTACCCACGATGTACTGAAAAACACCACGTAAATATACAATCTATAGATATGCTTGTTTACATCAAGAATATTTTATGCACAGCGCTAAGTTTTCATTTCTCTTTTAAAATTACTAAACGTTTACTTCTGAATTATCAGCTTCCGTAATGGTTCCCACTAGAAATGACAGGATATAATACTGATATGTGGAGACTGACCTTGAAGTCCCTGGGGGTGATACACTTATACTGTCCTGACCACAAGGCTTTAATGATGACGGAGAAATCGTCTGCTACTTCACCATAGTAACCTAGCTGACTCTCCCTAGATACACAAATATATAATTACTGGGATAAAATATTTCAAACAACATTTAACGATGCAACTTATAACAAAAGACATACATGTAATATTACAATTAACCAGTAATATTGTTAAACTATTTCTATTGAATATACATTAAACAGTTGAAAATATAAAATTTTTATATTAAATTACTTTATTTTAGAAATATTGACTGTAGATCCTACCTGTTTATATCATATAGATACATGTCTGTGAGGAAATACGTTGCTAGGGGTGATGTGTTGTTTAGACACTGGATGGTGGAATTCATGTAACAGGTGTTACCAAGGTTACGTAGACCGGTAAGTGCTCGACCCTGAAAGACAAATTTTAAAGATTATAGAAAAACACATGCATTGAGTTTATTAATTTTTAAAGAATATTCCTGATTTAATGCAAAAGTAATAGTTAGGCTTAAGGTCAAGTTTTTCTGAGGGACAAACTGAGTGTAAAATACGTGTATGTGGACATATATTTTATGATATATTATTACCACCATGGCTCCAAAACTATGGCTATTTTTGTAAACATATAGCGTTTTTATTTGGAATACAGAAAGAGTTGGATTCTGTGGTACAGTTATGATCATCATCATTATTTCATAAGATCAAATAACACAGCACAAACAATTTACCACAGTACTGTTGTTTTTGCTATTCCTTCATGTACATACCACATTTCCATACACTGGGTTGAGATCCCTGTGTAGAGCTTTTCTGGGCTTTGGTTTAGGATGGTCAACTCTAAAACATAGAGAAAAATGTGATTGTTTTATGCAAAAAAAAAAAAAAACTTGTAACAATATACGTGTACATTCTGTACACTTAGTACATATTTTAAATATGCAATGAAAAAGAATTTGCAAATCAAATAAATGTATGTCAATGTTACAGAATCATAAATCATATTACAGTAATACTGTACATGATAATAGTATATGTATTTAATGAATGTTTGTTTTAAGGACAGACGAGACGTTCCTTAATAGCAGATAAATTTTTCTAAGAGTTTGCCATTGAAGTGTTGCTACTTAAACATGTTTACTCACAAAAAATTGAGGTACCTTACCAGGCATTTTTGCAAGATACCAGGGGTAGTTTTTCTTATATAATCCTTTGGGGGAGAAAAATAATTTTCCAATATCAAATGTCTGAGTGTTTGGATTTTTTAAAAACTTTTAGAAACTGGTTTAGACATCAGAATGTTATTAAAATTTTGAATATTTTTCATACATTACGAAAATATACAAAACAGATTTTGAGGAACGTCTCGTGTGACCTTAAACAAAGTAAGTACTGTGGACATCTCCCTATGATAGTCATTATCTATGGTGGTACCTTTCCATGGGTTTGATGGTCCTGTCTATGGTGGGACGAGTTTTAGGTGCCTGTTCCTCGTCAAACATCATCTTAGCAATGTTAGGGGAGGAGTTGGACCGGGTCAGACCACGGCTAGGGGTCGAGGGCTCATCTTTAAGTTTAGTAACAGACAACTGTCCCGACGGTCGACCTGGTCAAATGAATAAATCAATCAGATAAATCAGGATGTGGGGTGGTTTATAACTTACTTTCATGGATGAGATGGTTACTTTAATACTCATCTGGTTTATGTGAGGTTGTTCTATTTAAAAAATTGTCAGAGTGTGAGATGATGACTTACTTGTCTGGATGTGAGGTGGTTCCCATTGGGTGGTTCCCTTGTTGTGGTTGATGTAGTAGTATCTATTCGTGTTGTGGTCCAGCCTCTTCTCCCACCCAGTGGGGAGGTTGGGGGAGGGGATGGTTCTTGGTTTGGTAGGCTGGGACTCAGCAACTATAAAATAATGTCTCCTATTATAAAATAATGTCTCCAACTGAAATATTTTTCAGTTGTTACAAAACTAAGAATGTTTTGTTATATATAGTCATAAAATGACTGATATTTCTGCGTCTTGTTTTTTGAATTTGGCCTACTATGAATCACCTTGATTCATAGTTATGTCTTGCCAAAACCTTTTGGTTTAAGCAATTTTTGAAGTAAGTACTTATGTACTTACTCTTACTTCAAAGATTGCTTAAACCAAAAGGTTAGCATTACAAGCACAGTGTATCTATGTTCTTGTAATGTAATGTGTATTGACAAGGCCATGAGGTTATAAATTTTTTTGAGTTTAAATGGCTAAATGACTACCCTGTTCAATAGTTACAGTTCAGATTCCTGGCCTGATCTGCCCTCTCTCTCTCCCCTCTCTCTTTTCTTTTTCATCCCCCCTCTCTTTCTCTCTTTTCCATCTCTATGGCCTTTGATGCATGGCTTTATCCTCTATACTTACAGTTGAGTCTGCGGAGTTTCTCCTCTGCTTCACGCCTGGCCTGATCTGACCTCTCTTTCTCTATTCTCTCTTTCTCCTGCTTTTCCTCCTCTGCTTTCTTTATCAGCTCCTGTCTCTTTCTCTCCTAAAAAAGTTTATTCTCATATGCACTTGAACCATAGCATGAAGAGAGCTACATTTTTAATCAAGCTTGGTCCAACTGCAAGAAAATATCTTGTTAATATAAATATACTGGCCTGATTGTTAAAAAACATTTCTACATAGAAGACTACCAAGGCCCTTTTAGAGGGTATTTCATTATGAGTTCAAAGACACTTTAAATCATATAATTAATACCAATTGATAAGATCATTTAAATTCCACGTAATCAAATATTCTGGTTCTTTATACTGTGTTTCACTAATCTGCATATAACTTTTCTTTAAATCATCATCATAATGTGAAAATCCAACCATACATATTCAGTCTTAATTTGACTGTTAAGTAAGAGTTACCTCCTCTTTCCTCTGCTCCTCCTCCTGTCGTTTCCTGTCCGCCTCCCTTCGCTCCTCTTCCTCTTTCCTCCTCTGTACCTCCTGTCTGTCCTCCTCTGCCTTCCTCTGTGCCTCTCTCCTTTCCTTTTCCTCCCTCAGTTTCCGTGCCTCATCCTCTGCTTTCTTCAGCTCAAGTTTACGTCTCTCTTCCTCCTGCCTGGCATTTTCTCTTGCCTTGTCAAGAGCCTATTATAATTATTATCAAAGATTTGTACATTATAACAAAGACAACATTTAAAATGTAAAAAAAAAAAGGTTGTTTGATTAATCCAGTCATAATTTTGATAATGTATTCAGCCCCAAGATTTTGAGAACTTAAGACACATAGAGAATAATGACTGTCTTGTTTCTGCATCAGATATACACTACAGTACACTGAATATGACTTCTGTCCTTTTTCTCTGTCTCAGATATACAGTATACAGAGTATGACCTCTGACCTTTTTCTCTGCCTCAGATATACAGTATACAGAGTATGACCTCTGACCTTTTTCTCTGTCTCAGATATACATTATACAGAGTACGACCTCTGACCTTTTTCTCTGCCTCAGATATACAGTATACAGAGTATGACCCCTGACCCTTTCCTCTGCCTCAGATATACAGTATACAGAGTATGACCCCTGACCCTTTTCTCTGACTCAGATATACAGTATACAGAGTATGTCTTCTGACCTTTTTCTCTGTCTCAGATATACAGTATGCAGTGTATGACCCCTGACCCTTTTCTCTGTCTCAGATATACAGTATGCAGTGTATGACCCCTGACCCTTTTCTCTGTCTCAGATATACAGTATGCAGAGTATGTCTTCTGACCCTTTTCTCTGCCTTAGATATACAGTATATGATCATGACCTCTGACCTTTTTCTCTGCCTCCTCTTCCTCCCTCCTCTTCCTCTCCTGCCTCAGTCGCTCCACTTCCTCCAGTCTTCGCTGTTTCTCTCGCTCCATTTCCTCCTGCTTCCTTCTTTTCTCTTTTTCCTCCACTTCAAGTCTCTCAAGTTCTTTCCTCCTGTTAGGAAATAATATGAATAAATTAACAAAAAGACTAAAGGGCTAAACTCGAGAACATAGCAGCTAGACTAGCAGCTAGACTAGAAAGCTAGGTCTACTGAATTAATGCTTGTTAGCTATGCTAGCATATCAATAAAGATCATAGCAACAATCTTAAATGCAGCTCTGGACTTTCAGTGTATCATGACAAGCTTCTCTGAGCCATGTTTACATACCTCCTCTCGTCCTCCACTGACTTTGTCTGTGTGTCTGTCTTCTGTTCTCTCTGATTCTCCTCCATTATAACCTTCTTCTTCCTCATCAGATCTGCCACATCTCGAGCCTGCTCCATTTTCAGCCTCTCCAACTCCTGGAGGTAAGAAAAGATGACATTGGGAGTATCTCATAATATTGAACAAGTCAAGTTTGAGATTACAAGGTATTACTATTCTTGTAATATTTTATGTTACATTAAATTGTACCTGTTTTTGTAACACACACTACATAACACTGGTACCTGAATTTCTCTCTGTAACTTGAGCCTCCTGGCCTCCTGCTCCTCTGCCTCTTTATCCTGCTGTGCCTTCAACTCCTCATCCCTCTCTCTCCTCAAGTCCTCCTCCCTCCTCCTGGCCTCCTCTGAGGCCCTCCTCTCCTGTTCTCTCCTCTGAGCCTCAGCCATTAAGTTATTTTTAGGCTGAGACACAGGCTTACTGTCTGACAGGGAAGGTGTGGAGGAGTTATTTAGAGGACTCAGACTGTTGGTTGAAGGGGAGGGTTTAGGCTTTGTTGATCTGTCTATAGAGGGGACCCCTAGCCTGACCTGACCCCCTGCTGTGGGTGCTGCAGGCCTGACTTGACCCTCCCCTGGGGGTGCTGCAGGCTTACCAGTATCATTGCTGAGGATGCCCAGAGGATCTGAGGTGGGCACTGGTTCAGGCTTTGGTTTGGGTTTGGGGGTTAATGAAAAATCCTCATCAAAGTCAGGGTAGTCAAAATCCACTGAAATGCAGTTATTTTATAATCATAAGAAGTACATGTAATCATAAAGCAAATTATTAATCAACTGCTTGGAAATTCTTGGACGATTACAATTTTTCCTTAATTTATTTATTCATGTCTAGAATCTTAATTGTAACATTTCTGCTGTCAGTAACAGGAGGACCAATTTTCCTTAATCTTTTACTAATGACTACAATCTTTAATGTAATGTTTCAGCTGTCAGTAACAGAGGGGGCACTTACATGAGGGTGCTGAGGAGGTGGGTCCCTCCTGGGTGGGGTTGGTCACTCTGGCATTAGTGGTCAGTTGGGGGTAGTACATCAGCCACTGGTCGTACCCTCCCTCCAGCACTAAAGGCTCACTCTTAATGATCACTGACGAATCATACTGAAAATAAAATTTTAAAAATTGTAATACATAAATCTTATCTCACTGAATAAAATGATTAAAAATAAAGAAATTTCTATCCACCTTAAACAAGGCATCCTTCAGTGTACGAAGAGGTGTTGCTATGGTGACCTGGTTTAAGGTTGAGTTCCAGTCCAGTAGGACAATGTGGTCCACTTGACCTCTTTTTACCCACAATCCTTTGGACTCCTCAGATAAAGCTCCACCTATGTAGATTGCTGTAGTCCTAAAATACACAGAGTATACATGTATATTGGATAAAGTAAATTAAGTTCATATGTAAGACTACTGTTGTACCTACAGTCCCTGAAACTTTCTACTTTCCCATTTTTCCGTTCGCTCACCGTTCGTTCACCGTTCGTTCACCGTTCGTTCAGCGTGCGTTCACCGTTCGCTCTCCGTTCACTATTTTGCGTTCATCGCGCGCTCACGTTCACAAAATGTTCACCGTTCGCTCTTCGTTCCGTTTACTTTGCGTTCACCGTTCACTTATCGATCAGTCTTCATTGTCATTCAGAACTCCGAAGTAAAAGGACTTATCTTTTTGATGGAAAGGATTTACACATTTTTTCATTAAATAACTAAGATATCGTGTTTGAAGAACAATTATTTCATTGCAAAAATTATCTACGATATTTATATTTCTATTATTATAACTTGGCTGTTACTTTATCCATGAAATTTCCCTGGAAAATAATACATTAAGTACCTACATGTATTTAGAACGATAAATAAAATAAAATATTAAATTTAAAAAAGGGCAATGTACAAATGCTTCAAGCATGGCAACATTTTGTTGTAATGCAAAAGACAACAAATCATTCATGGATGGATAATAATCCAAGTCTTTCACAAGACAAGAATACACAAAAATATTACTTCTAACACGTATTTAAAAAAATGCATGAAAACATATTAGAACTACACGTAGGTCTGAGAATTATGAACAGTACTGCAGATATTCAGTTAATATAATATCTCTAGAGCTAATTAAATTAATAGTGTGATTATAAATTTTAGAAAAGACCAACTGTTTAAAATGTAATAAATTAGAGTTTTTTGTGTTTTGTACTTTAACTTAGTCTATTATTAGAGAGGGAAAATTCCTTCATTCATTGTGCCTAAATATATGTTTGCCATTCAGTATAATTAAGAGCCCCCCCCCCCCCCCCCCCCCCCCAGCACCTTTTCTCCCAAAATCAAATTCTTAGTTAGTATGTCTAGAATATTAATATACTCTTCAAAAAAAGAAACGCATAGTAGGAACAATGCCCAGAAAAATGTATGATAGTTTTGTCATACCTTTTATCTTTATATGGATATGATGTATTCGAGTGAAATGTCTGATTTTTTAATGCAATTGTTAACTTTACAGCTATTCTACAAGTCTCACAGACAAAAAGACCCGATTTGCCAAATTTCCCCCAAAATTTTGATCTCAATTTTCATTTGTTGAATTCTGATGCAATTCCTTCAGGTACGAAGGGGCTATCAAAAGCGGGGATTCTCGATATTTTGAATCTGGTTTTATCTGAAAAATGACGCTTCCTAAAAATGCTGCATCTGAATGTTGCATAGCACAAAAAGGAAAATGGGTGACTGGAAGCAGGGGTACCGCAATTTACAATTGCAAGAGGTTTTAATGTTACGAGCAACTTCATATCTAACCTATAAAACATAAACCATTAACATCGAACACCCAATTTTCGCAAAAAATATGGTAGACTACGTGTGACATCAGCAGCACAGCATCACTTCGTAAATTGCATGAATGTAATGCAATGACGTCATCTAAAGCATTAGCTATCCCTGAACTGCACAGATCATCTAACAAGACCGTTTTCAGTTGACTACGAATTATTGCAAAAGGATTATTCATGCCATTGTTCTGACCCCACAACACTCCAAATATCGACTTCAAAGATCTCAGATCAATCGAGTATGATCACAGCATCACTGCTGAACATTTTGGTTTAGCTACTAGTCCAGAATGTTTATCTGAAAGCCTCTTATAAGTTTAATAGTGCTAATGCTTTGTAATGAATGTTAGACAGATAACTGCCTCCAGGACGTTAAAAAAGTTGGTGGTGGTAGTGTAATGATATGGAAAACAGTATTATAAGAAAGTAAGATTGATTTGGTTCGAATTCAATGGACTTTAATGGAAAAAGGTACTCTAACCATGTTCTACCTACACATGCCCATTCAATTTTGCGGCATCCTAGAGCCGTATTGCAATCTCACAATACACAGCCACATACGGCTCGTTTGACACTCCCATTCTTGCAAAGCAACAGCAACTTGTTTCTGCCACAGTCATCTAAATTGCTAGATTTAATCCAAATCAAGCAGCATTGGACAAAATGGATTGACATGATTTCCTATAGACAATCGCATCCCCAGACTCTACAATAGCTGAACAAAGTTCAACATTTGGAGTGCGAGAGTATTCCTATACAGATTTTATTACACACATTTGCTTCCATTAGATGCCGTTTGTTCCTACCATTTGTGTCTGCGGGGGGCATACCAGATATTGATCTTTAATGGCCTTAAACTGACTATAATTTTAAAATTAGTGAGTATATGACATTTAGATAGTATCCCTGTTGCTTATCACATTTCTGTTTTATCAATGCATCATTTTACTAAATAATCTTTATGTTCAATGTGTCACTAAAATTCTGCTATGCATTTCTTTTTTTGAAGAGTATATTTAATATGTATTGTAACACAAGAAAATCAGTCTTGTAAAACGAACATCAAACAGTCATTAAACAATAGTATTTCAAAATATACATGTGCCGACAGTATAGTATTAAATTTTCAAATTGGCAGGGAATATGTTTCAAATTCAATTTCAAACTTAATTCTTCCAAGTATATATTCCCTGTATTTATTAATTTTTTTTCTGCAGGAATGCAAATATCAGATCTAGTAATGATAGGGAAAAATATATTTAAACTTCTTGGAAATACTAAGTGACTCTTTGCCTTCGGCATGCTCAGTGAAACAAGATTTCCACACCTCCACTGTGTCGAATGAATTTGATTGACCAGACAAGCATGTGGACATCCTGTGAACCATGTGAAGTTGAAGATGCAAAATAAAAGCTGATGATTACTGTCAAATGGATTTGTTAATCTTAAAAATTTTATTACTTTTACTGCTTGGAATATTTAGGGAAAATAATACGAATTTTTATTTGATACAACAGATATCTGAGAATGGAGGGTCTCTCTCTCTCTCTCTCTCTCGCGTACATTTCTCTGTTCAATAAAATTATGACATCACATTACGTATTTACATGTAGTTTAATTTGAAAATTTAATCTATTAATAATAATTGGAATGCCTTTTTTCATCATCTTGTCTGAGTATGATCATTAATGACTACAGATACATGTAGTCATTAGCTAAAATAATCATCATAAAAGAATAAAAATGACACATAAATACAGAATATTTTGCATTATAATTTTAAAATAAAAGTGTTTTTATGCAATACGTTAACAGACAATTCTGAATTTAAAAACAAAATCTGTTATTTTACTCAGAATCGCCTTGGCACGGAAATACATGTATGGTTGTTTCAACCGGGTTCGGTGTAATTAATTAATTCTATAAGTAGTAATTTTATCTTCTAAAGTCCACATTATTTTATTAGTTAAAAAAAAATAGCATATTAACTATATGAGTAGACTAATTTTATATCTAAACTACACGCATTCGGTAACAAATACACATGTTTTACGGCAATTAAAATCATGTTAATATTAAATTATCGATTTAAAACAAAGGTATGTGCAGAGAAAAAAAATTGTTTTTATTATTTATTTATCTATTGTTTATTTATATTTTAGCACCTGAAATTAGAATTATAGAATAATTTCAATGCAAGGAAAAGACCAGAGGCATTCTGAATAAATCGTTCATCTTGCATTCACCGTTCACTTTGCGCTCGCATTCGCGCTCTGTTCGCGCTCTGTTCGCGTTCACTCACCGTTCACACATCGTTCACCAAGTTGCGTTCAGCGTTCACTCACCGTTCGCTCTGCGTTCGTTCAGCGTTCGTTCACCATTGCGGTGGGAAAGTAGAACGTTTCAGGGACTGTATATGAGTTACTTCAGTAGCTACTATGTACCTTCTTAAACTGGACATCTCCACTAGTTTGAAGGGGAGTTAGGACATTAGAAGTCATTTGACATAAACGACTAAACGTATCAACAAATTTTTTTTTCATTCAGTATACATGGCAAGTATAATATATATATACTCAGCATATATTTTTACATGAACATTTTGGCCCTGCTTACCCTGGTTTGATTCCCTCGGCCGGTACGTTGATACAGGAGTCATGTTTAATGTGTGATTCCTGGTACTGAGATCCGGGTCGTACATCCATTATAATCAGACTTGTTTCTTTGTCATTTAACAAATCATACAGCTGAACCGGACTTATTTTCCCAGCAGCCTCTTGGCCAGCATCTGCTGAAAAATTATCCAGTCCTGTATTATTGACAAATATTTAAAAGGCAGAACATGCTGTCTGAATCAATAGTTTTACTTATTGTACATGTAAGTTTATTATGTACTGTGTTTATAATTTTCATTAAATAAACTAGTTTGACTTTAAAACAAATCTATATAAGTGGACATTTTTATACGCTGCCATAACAAATTAAATATCTAAATACTGTTAAAGCAGAAATATTCTTTGGGTATTAAATTTTGTTTATTTTGTGTTAACAATTATCAACGAAATAAAATCCCACACAATATTTATTTGACTATAATAATAGTGAAAAGAGTTCTTGCTAAACAATAAAATTTAATGACCATGAAACCTTTTTAGATGACAATTCAAAGGAATTTTATCCCCACAAAAATTTATACTTCTATGTTGTTAGATAATTAAATTGACAGTTTTACACCAATGATCTTTGAATCTATACTTCCCCATACCTGCTTTCTCACTGTTTTTGCCCACATTCTCTGTATCTTCTTTGGGTTTGGGAACATTTTCCTCAGATTTAACTGGTTCTTCTTGAGGTTTACTTTTATCTTCAAGGGGAGCTAACTTGCTGGCTACATCCTCAGCTTCAGCTAATTCATACCTAAGAAAAACCAAACAACACAATATTGTCACAATTCAGTTTATCAGAAAAAAAAAGTAAAACACAAATGTCTTATAGCCAGGCACAGTTTTTAACAAATTTGACCTTGTCCAAACGACCTTTAGTAAGGCTCACAACATTGTCTCTAAACATATGCTACATGACTGGGTAGATGCCTGCCAATTCTTACCTTTACTATAGAAACACAGGATAACACTTCCAATTCCAGATATCCATGATTTTTTTTATGAAAAATTAATCAAGCTCACAATATGTGTCAGTCATAATCTTATAAGTGAAGAATCTGACTTCTCCATGTTGCTTAATCAAAAATTGTTAGCATGCTCAAAGATAAAGACACAACACTAAGGTTGTGTCATTTGTTATGTTTGGGACATGAAAAATATATTTAAACTTGCTTTGTAACATGTGATTATTTACATGATGTACATACCACACCTTAAACAATATCACTGAATTTTTTTTCATCCTTAATATAACCACACTAATTGTTAATGTTATACAACACTTCAACATCAGACTCCTATTTTGTTTGTTATTACTTTTATTTAACATTCATTAATGATGTAAGGCCATTTATGCCCTCTCCTCCAATGCAGCATGAAAAAATTGAGTCTAAAGGTAGGCAAAAATTATCTTTTATCCCCACAATGACAATATATCAACATCGATGTTGAATTTTCAAAATCAATTTTTCAGATTGCAAAAACAAAAACAAATATAGCTTGCAAAAGGTTAAAAATGAATTTTGAGTCTAGTCATGTTTAGTCAGTTAGTCATGAACAGGAGAGGGCAATCAGACATTTCTTAAAAGTTAAAGATGGCCTTATGTGTTAGAAACACTGATCCCATGCAGACTTCTTTTATATTTATTCAATGAAACATATGGAGATAACGAACAGTATTCCACACCAAAAGTCCATAAAACAATACAAAATAGGAGCTGGGCAAAAACGGACCTCCAAAACATCAGAGGTGGGATCAAATAATATTTTTACCTGTCCTTAAGGTTTGATGATAATTCCTCTGCTTTGTCCATACATTTCAGCAAAGTTTTCTGTCCAATCAAACTATCAAAATAGTCCTAAAATACAAGAATCACAGTCAATAGAATGTAGGTACCGGTACTTAAATTTCACTTCTTAGTGAGCTCTCCCTACTCTTGTACCATGTGTACCTTTTGCTTTTTGTAATCCGGGGACTTCCTGATGAGGGTGACTATATTAAAGTACTTCATGTACATAATGTACGCCTTCTCCTCATCTCCCAGGGATTCATTGAGCACAGCTTCTTTGTTGATTTTCTCTGCAGATTTCAATAATCTACAATATATTTGAAGAAGGTTAAAATATTATCACATATTTTTGTGGGGGGGGGGGGGGCATCTATCCTGTTGCAGGAAATTTGTTTCCATTGTGATTTAAGGTTCAAATATAGAAGTGCTTATTAGAATTATCTTAGTGTGTCTCAGGAAAAGCCCTTACATGTACTTCCCACATACTTGCAATGTGATAAAGAAGGAGATGCATTGAAAATAAATACCAAAATTCAAGCCTTTCAGAATCTGTAGGTATCTGACCTTTTACCTGGCTGAAATCATGATTGTAATGACCTCAATATTTGATGTAAACATTAAAACATATTATAACTTCTACAGGGTACCTCCCATTTTTGTAGAGGTACAACTTATTCCTAATCTTTTAGAAAGCCTTGCAAATACATAGTATCGCGAGTACCTCACAGTTATCTAACTTACTACCGCTCTTTTGTGGGGAAATTAAGAGAGCTCAAAATCTCGCGAGATTCCTGGGGCATAAAATTGTTTACAGTAGTGACAATCGAATGATTTGCACAATCATTCTGCCATAAATACAATGTATGGCCAAGGGTTGAATTCCATATAGTAGATTGTCAAATAAGGAAAGTTTAGTGTACATGACCACCTTTCAAAAGTAATATTTTCAATGAAAATTGAATGAGAAGAGTCCGCTTAATAAAAAGTAACATAAAAAATGTATCATCTGAGGACTAGCTCCTCTCAAAGATTTATTAGGCTGGTTCAGTGAATGTTTAGCAAGAAATATCAACAGGATTTATTTCTTATCTGCCTTTAAAAACTTCACAATAATCGATCTTGCATTGTATTCAATAGCATATTGTCCCCATCCAGCAGAAGTTTTCTACCTTTACCGCGAAAGAGTTCCATTAAGTTAAGTAATCACGATATCAAGTATTCAAATCATTTTTGAATTTATACTTTTTATATTACCTTTCCCTAAAATATAATAAATTTATAAACTTTAGATTTCATCATATTTAGATCTACTCGGATTTTTTTCTCTCTTTGCACTTACACCCAGTGTTAACATTAAGAACTCTCTGGATTATTGATTAGTGAGTACAGGATAAGATTTTTCTCCACAACAATACAATTTAAATGAAGTGGTTGATATATAATTAATGTAAAAGAAAAATTTATATGTACATTTTGGGGTTATTTGTCATTTTAGCTGGTAAAGCAGCAAGGTCATTCAAGGCCTTCAGAGACTTAGCTAGGTACAGGTCCTTCTTCTTAACAGGCATATTGGTTTATCTGCATAAAACATGTAAAAATAGAGTTTCATACAAAACAAATATGTACAAGAGAAAGAAGGAAATTAAAAATATACATTTTCCTGATTTTATAGGCTGTAAAACTCAAGTCTCAGTATTATAACTATTTAACAAAGTTTAAGACATTAAAGGGAAAAAAAGAAACAACATAAAACAATCAATATTTACAAACTTTTGTTACTCCTCCACTTCCGGGCTTTAAACTCAGTGATCCGAAAGTTATCACAAAATTTAGCACTGTTTTCTTACAAAATATCTGAAATATGACATGGAAAACATAATTATTTGTCCATGTCACGATATATTATTGTAAGAATCCTTATTTTTTCTCCGACTACTTTCATAATATTTACAACGAAGGCCATCTTGAATTTTGTCAATATTAATCTGAAGGCCGATCCCGACAAAAAATAAAGCAAAGTGTGCGACTTGGAAGCGCGTCACGGTATATAAAGCATGATAAGGTTCGATTTTTTGCGCAAACAAATTTTGTTCGGTATATTTTACCACATTAACCATTACTATGATTAAAATATACTTTAAAAAATGGGGGACAGGTAAACAAAACTTTCAGTAAAAAATTAAATTCTTGTAGATCCAACTGGCCAATACATATATTCATCAAATTGATTGGAAAAAAGTCGGTCATTGGCAATTCAATATATGTATTACGCAAATGTAAGACCTAGATGGAGTCTTTAGAATCATTTAATTTTTCCAAAATTAATTTGAAAATTTACTGAGTCCTAGAAAGTTGTTGAAATTTAGTTCTCCATATAGTTTTACGTATACAGGCCTACCTAGTCGACACATATATACCTTGTGTACCGTTTGTCAATCTTACTTTCGGTCTTTTTATGATTTAATAGCGCACTTGTAAATCGGAGCGTCAAAGACACTGGATATCACTGTTTTAGTACCAAAATCGACAAATTTAAATTACAAATTAAAGTTTAATTTGAATTTGATTTAATTTAATTTTAAACAAATTGCAAATTTAAATTGAGACCCCTAAAAAAAAACAACAGGATCTTGTTTTGATGGAATCTGACTAAGGTTTATTTTAGATACCCCCCCCCCCCCTCAGCTATTCTCTGTGGAACTAAAAAAAAAAGATGTTTTAAACATTAACATGTTAAAGAATCCAATCTCAGCATTGCTACCCTTTATGCTGAAACATATATACTCACTCAAAACAATCTTGAAAAGAATCTTTAGTAAGCGTCAGGAGGTAAATAATTTACAACTCTTCTTTTAATAGGCCTCACAAAGAAAAATAAGAAATTATACAATCATGTATCGAAAACAAGAGACTGTATATGTACATGTACCATGAAGGTGCCTGACTATGTAGTTTGAAATTCTGAATTTCCTAAGTGAAGGGCTAAGATATATACGATAAATTACGCAGCAACATTCCACTTAGTAGCATTTCATGGCCACTATCATGCATCTGCATATGGTTTTTATGTCTCTCCCAGCTGATTCACTACGTAAGAACACGCAAGACCGAAGTGTGATCATTTTTAAACTGACACAGTCTACTGACAAATAAGCGGATGTTACGGGACGTTCAACAATCTCTACAAGGTAGCATTTCACAAATTCCATGGTCCTCCTAATGACCTAGTTCATAAATAGAATCTTTCATGTATTCTGTATTCTGTATTTCATACGAATTCTTAGACCATAGATTTTGCACTAATTTGGTTTATCTGAGAAATACACTGTGCGTGTAATAGAATTTGTATTGTTTAATTTAAAGTTCTTGCTACATACAAACGTAATCTACCATAAAGTCAGTTGTTATTAGTTTACAACGTGAAAGAAGAGTTTAATTTCAAAGGACACAATAGGTCAAGACCCCTTCATGGCCCCTGATTTGTGGTATCTACTACATGTAGAGTGATGCAAGAATTGTCTCCCCTCTTACAAAATGAATACTGCCTGATCCTATGTTTTAGGGTACACAAAGGTTGACTCACAAAATATATTTTACGAATTTTCTTATATTTATGCAAATTTTCATCAATTTTAAAGTATATTTTGTTTCAGAAAACATATATGCATATAGCATAAGCTTGCCTATAAAAAGTATAATATACATTTCATGCACTAGTATACATGTATAATGCCAACTTTGGCTTCCTAGTAACCATTGAATCAAAGTTATTGCTGGTTTGAAAACGGAATGGACTATTTACAATTCTTAACTGAAAACTGTTACAATTTTTACTGCGTTTCAATTTTTACATCAAATGAGGAGCCAAATTCGCCTCTTAGGTACCATATATACATGTACTTTTGTCCTTTACTGACTTTCTATGTTCATGTAAGAAGTCATGGTTGATTCAATGACTATAGCACACGCTATCCTTGTGCATTCATGTGATAAATACCGCAGTATTGACTAAATCTTTGAGATATAACAGTTGATGTTTAACTTCTTACGTAGTCACACTCGTAATTAAATCTGAAAACTGCTTGGTTAATAAAATGGTGAACAAACAATATTTTAAAATTTTATATTAAACATGTTGACGCTAATATAAAGAAAGTTTCAAAGATATTAATAAAATTATGAATTATAATATAAATATAATAAATTATAAATGAGGGAAAAAAAACAATTTTTTTCCACCACCAACTTTTCCCTTAGTGAGGCCAACTTCTTAAATCAATTTCAGTTTTACACTGAAAATATGATTCATTTTTCACATCATCAGGTACACCCCTTCATTTATACCATTATTTCCTGATTTTAAGAAATACACAAAAATATGCCCTCTATATTCAATATTATACCAATGTTTCAATTTCTCGAGGAAACACAACTGAGAAGCCATTGAGGAAAGAAAAATAAACCAGGTGTTATATTTACATAGATTTATTAATCAAAACAGAATCACAATACATGTACAAAGAGACGTCGGAATAATTTCCGCCCCTTCTCACCTGAACTTAAAATTAACGAAATAACAGGTTGGTTAATCACCAGAGAGTATCATATATAAATTGTAACAAACATCTGACCACTTTTATTCATTGAATTTGTCTTTCAATGTCAGAATATTTTATCCTGTGTTGCTAAAGAGCTGCATCTGATTTTCAGAACCTATTCGCCATCACTGTACTCTGATTGTACAGGTGTACATGGCCCACTTTATAAGAGGATATTCTACTTAATCATAGTTTCTGTGTTTATTCTTCAACAATCTGACAACAATATCACGATTCAGACAAAGTGCATACATAACTTTGTACATTTGTCTGCTGAGGTAAAAACTCATTTATTTAAAATAATTTTCAAATCTTAACTAGCATTTGTTAAAATAAATTCATTATCTCTCAAACCTTTTTTAACTAAATAAATTAAAATTTCATATGCTAGTATTTAAGTGCATTTTTTTAACCGACTAGAGAGAAATAGATCTGTAAAGCTTGGATCTAAAAAATAAAATTCATTTTGAAAAAGTGATGGACTTGATAATGAATTTAAATTAATGAGACATTTTAATTAATCTTTTTATCAAGCACATCTTTTACACCTTGCTGATAATCCAGAAATACACTTAATTTACATTTCATAATGCTGCGCATGAGAAAATTAATTGCTAAGGTAGCCCTCTCCTATTGGATATCAGGAAGAATCATCATGAATGAACAATTAAATGCTTCACTATATACCCCCTGTTATTGTTTCGCACAGAAACTTATCAAGTTTTATGAATTGTTAGTTGATAAATTCATTCATTCGTAATAAAAAAAGAATTTTATGCACCATATGAAAAAATACACACATTTCATCATAAGTTAACCAAAAAGCTTTCCCATTTTTGGTGCATACAAATGCATTGAATGTTTACAAGGGGGAAACATTATAATTCCACACCAATTGATAATTATTTTCGCGTTTTTAGCAGGTTTTCTGCTCACACATTGGTGCTCTGGAACCTATTATTGAATAAATTAGAAGTCCGGAGAGGCCTCCTTGAGCCAGTCTGTGTGTTTCTACACTCACAATAACATCGCTTCACTGGACAGTGTCCCGTTGTACACTTCCTAGCACACTCCTCCCGTATCCTGGGGTAATTCCTGTGGAATCCTCTTCCTTCACATTGTAATACCTCTCCCTCCCTACATACACTTGTTGAAGGTTGAGGTACTGGTCTTCTAATAGGCACAGGTATAGGAACGCCCTGCACTGAAGGCCTGGGTCGAACCTGTGATGGTGAGTTAGGAACGTTAGATAACGAGCCGCCGAAATTGAAGGAATCACGCGGGGTTTGAGTAGGCGGAGGTGGTGGTCGTGGGTTGTTAGGCATGCGATTTATAGAACTGTCTAATCGACCAAAGTCATTCCTTAAACCTCCAGAAACTATAACGCCTTGTGGGGGAGGCGGATTATTTTGTTGCCTTGGACGCCGGACTTGATCTTGATTGAATGTTTGATAGTTTCCACCTGATATTTTATCTGCTGAAAGCATTTGCGCAGACGGCATTAAAATGTCACTAGGTCCTTGATTTTCAGGAGAAATTGCAAAATGAGCTCCTAGGGATCTAGTTATGACACTCTTGTCTGTTTTGTGATTATTATTGAACTCTTTAGCAACTTTTGCGTCCATATTTAATCCACTTGCAGATACAAGTACACCGGATTCCATGGGGTTTGATAAGCTACCTAAGGACCCTGTACGTGTTGCCTGACTTGGGCTTTGTATGGACTCTCTTGTTTGTGGCTGGACTTGACTAATGCTATTTGACAGTTGATTAGAAGGCACCCTCTGTCCATCCGAACCAAACTCATACCAGTTCATTTGTAAGTTGTCAGTGGAAGCTTGGTTTCTTGGTACCTGGTTCACAACCCGGTCCACCTGTCTCTGAGGAGACGCTCTGTTGTTAAAGAAGCCACCATTGGATAACTGACCAGGGTTAAATCGATTTCCACTTGATAGCTGATTCGCCCCTTGTCTTGCCTGTGCATCCCATATGATTTGTCCATTTCCCAACCTTTGACGACGCGAAGCAGCTATTCTTCTGTTTTCAAATGACGATATGGAACCCGTTGCTACTACATTGCCAAGGTTACCGAGACTCGAACTACCACCTGTGAAATCTATTGACGGTTTTCCAACTGAGTTACTTAAACCAAACTTCTGTTCGAAACTTTCATGTGCCCTCAAGCCATATTGTTCAGAATTGAAATTTTCTAGGTTTTTTGGATCTACCATTACACCGCCCATTTGTGACAGGCTATTTTGTACCTTTGTTCTTCCTCTCCAGCTTTCCGTAGTTGTGGTGATAGGTACGGCGTGTTGTTTTCTAACAAATTTACCATTTATCCAGTCAAAATTTTCGAAACGATTAGGACTCATTGTCTGCATATTATCTCCCATAGAGTTTGCAAACACTGGGGCCATCTGGGCACTAAGTCCTCCAAAACTTAATCCATTATACACACCTTGGTGATTTACTGGTATTCCTGTTATCTCTTGCTCATGTAAACCTCTGTCGGCTGGCTGCCCTAAACCAGAAGGTACACCGGATTGACTTGCTTGCCTTTCATGATACTGCAGGGCATCAAGGGAAGCCCCTCTGGAACTTAAAAGATTTAAAGCTTTTCTTGTAATTCTTGTTGTTGGATCTATTTGTATTCCTGACATGATACTTGGCATTCTATCTGTTGGCTGCGACATTTCTTCCATAGAGGGTACTATAGTTATTCTATTTGTTCGAGTAGCTTGTGTATTTTCGGAGTTTCCAAACATAGGTTGAGCCATATCATTTTCTGGTGTCGGAGAACCTAGCTGAGTTCCAGTATTTTCACTTGGTTTTAAGAAAATATTGGTTGTAGGTTCATTGATAGAATCAACTGATGGATCCGACCCCTGCTGTAAAGATTGTCCGACTTGTAATGTATTCATCGAAATTGTGTTCGAAAGTATCGGTGCTTCCGTGTTTTTGGTTGTTTCCTGACGTAAAGTCGTGATTTTGGTACTTGACAAGTCGGAAGAAGATGGTGTATTCCTTGACTCCAGTATTAATGGTTGATTTTTAGTTGTAGGTGCGGAATTCGACCCTATAGTCAAATCATTTATCGTATTTGAAGTTAACCACTCATTTTCTGCTGGAGTTTTGAAAGCCACTGTCATCTTGACCTCTGGTGTTTGTGTAGTTTCCAATGTTGGTCTCTCAGTCATAGGGCGATTATATAAAATCATATCGAGGAATGTTTTTGCGTCAATGTCTCCACGTGCAAATTCCTGTCTAAGTCGTAAAAGTCGTTCTGCTTCGGATTCAGACCCAGGTGTTGTTTTTATCGTTGCTTTAGGTGTTTTAGTTGATTTGATTGTTATTTCAGATGGTTTTACGAAAGATTCTGTCTGTGGCATTTTTGAGGAGACAGACGTCATAGAACTACTTCCGCTGTGTTTATTGTCTTGTACATTTGCTCCCATAGCTCTAGAGGCAGGAGTAGTGATTTTTATATCATTTTTCGGTAAATCATTATTTTTCAGCATTGGTTGTACATTGTAATTAGGCTTTGGCACATTGTAGATTGGTCTTTGTAATCCAACTAAGTATTGGATATTAGATGGTCCTATTCGTGCGCTGGGATCGACCTGGTTAATAATCCGAAGCGTATCACTGTTTAAGGCTGAGGATGTTCGAATTGTGTTTCTTCTTGGTATTCTGGGAGTTGGTGCTGTCGTGGGTTTGGGCGTGGTTGTAGTAGTTGTTGTTGTTGTTGTTGTAGTTGTGGTAGATCTTCTTCGCAACATTATTCTTCTAAACGCTGCTCTATTAAATAGTTCCATAGCCGCTAATGACTGGGTTGTCGTTGTCGGTAGTGTTGTAGTTGTGGTTGTAGGGGTGGTAGTTGTTGTTGGAGTTGTTGTGGTAGTTGTTGGTTCGGTAGTTGTAGTTGTAGTTTGTGTTGTTGTAGTGGTGGGCCGTGTGGTCGTGATGGTTGTCCTAGTGGTGGTAGGAGCTTTTGTTGTTGTCGTTGTTGTTGTGGGCATTGTTGTTGTAGTTGTTGGTTCTGGTGTTGTTGTGGTCGGATCAGGGAACATTTTCTTGTAAATCTCTGGAAAGAATAGTTCCAAGTATGCACGACTAGGAGTTGTTGTTGTAGCGAGTGTCGTAGTCGTTGTAGGTATTGTAGTAGTAGTTGTAGGTGTTGTAGTAGTTGTTGTTGGTGTTGTAGTAGTAGTTGTAGGTGTTGTTGTAGTTGTAGTAGGTAATGTCGTAGTTGTAGTAGGTAGTGTCGTAGTTGTAGTAGGTAGTGTAGTCGTGGTTGTTGGTAAAGTAGTTGTAGGTAAAGTAGTTGTTGTCCGCAAAGTAGTAGAAGTGATAGGTTCGGTTGTTGTCGGTAATGTCGTCGTTGGAGGTGTTGTTGTAAGCTCTGAGGTATCTGAGACGAAAGTAGTTGTAGTTGGTTCACCTGTCGTAGTTATTGTTTCACTTTCTATCAAAGGGTTTGTAGATATTGTGGACGATTGTGTTGCTGTAGATGGCTTCTTTGTTATAGATGTCTTCAGTGTTGTTTTATTATCAGATAGAACTTTTGTTATCGCTTTCCTTGCTGCCACTTTAGCAGGCTGTTTGTCAAATTCTTGTTCTGTTGTTTGGGAAGTAGTGTAAATTCTTTCTGATGTCTTGATAGAGGACATTGGAGGTGTGGAATAAGTAATATCTTGAAATGTTTCTTTGACAGGCGTTGTATTTGGTCTTCCACTACCCATGTTTTTCATTGTTGTTTCATATCTCTGAGCCAAGTTACTGAATTCCTCAAGCAGAGATTTTATTTCACTGTATACCATTTTTTCCATAGTGGTTGGAGACTTTGTTGAAGATTTAACTGCATTTCTTTTTGTTGTCCTAGTAAAGCTTTCTTTCGCTTTAGGTGTTGTCAGAGAGGTCTGTTTTCCTGTTGTTCTGTATGGAGTGGATTTAGTCGGCTCTTGTCTGGGAGTGGATGTAGAGTACATAGAATCTAATGTCTGCTGTAATCGTTTCTTTAAAGATCTGGTTCTTGCTGTTATATCAGTCCGTCCTCTTGTAGATCGATCTAGGATTGTGGTAAAACCTTCTTTGAAAGGTGTCGATTGCATTTTTGTTGAGGTATATTCTATTGTTGTTGGATCTTCTGTTGTTGTCATTTCTGTAGTCGTAGTTGACGGTCTTTGTGTCGTAGTAGTAGTTGTAGTAGTGGTTGTAGTTGTTGTTGGCTTAGGTGTTGTTGTTGTAGTTGTGGTTGTGGTGGTGGTGGTGGGAGTGGTTGGTGTTGGTGTTTCTGTTGTTCTCCACTTTGCCATAATTTCCCTGTATGCCTTAGGAGCAAATATCTCTAAGTAAGCCATGTCTGGAGTCGTCGTTGGTATTGTCGGTGTTGTTGTTGTTGGCGTTGTTGCTGTTGTCGGCACTGTAGTTGAAATTGTTTCATCAGGTAATGGTGTTGTGTACAGGTACACTAATTTTGATATGCCAGTGTTTCGTGGTGTTTTCGTAGTTTTTCTAATGCTTTGTTTTTGTTGTATTTCTTTAAACATTGGCCTATTAAACAATTCCAAATAAGCCCATTTCTTTGTCGGTTCCGCGGTTTCGGTTATTAATTCTTTTGTGCTGCTGGATTGTTTAGTGTTGTAAATATCAGCATCCTTGGAATAGTAAATTTCACTATTTTTCGATGAGTCCTTTTTGTCATATATTCTATTAGCGACAGATTCAGGCTGCTCATACAAGAATTCAGATGTTCCAGGTCTATCGAATGATATGTTGTTTGAAATTTTAAGAACCATGGTTTTATTTCTTGCTTTAGGGGCTGATGATCCTGAGTTTATATTATTTGTTCTCATAGCTTTTAGTGTCGTTTTTGTGTTTTCGGTCAATGCTGTTGGGCTAATACTTGATATTTTATCAGAAACAGTTAGTTCATGCTTATGTGTTGTCTTAAAATTCCCAGGCTCACCCTGACCAATCATTTCTTTGGTAGATTTACCTACTAATGATTGAGGATCCTGACTAGAATTGATTTCAGTGACTGTTTGCATGTTCTCTTTATTGTCGATTTGCACAGAAGAATGATCAAACATGGTGGTTTTTGGTTGGCCCGTTGGAGCTTCAGATGTCTCTATTATAGTTGTTTCTTGAGGGATCAGAATTTCCTCAGTTACTGTTGTTCTACTAGAGCCAGATTCTACAGCAGTTGTCTGTCCTTTATTTTGTTTTTTAGCCCCTGAGGTAACATCAGAAGTCCCAGGTACAAGTTTAAGATCAAAAGTTGTATGAGATGTCACCTCCGGTTGTTTATCGACTGTTTCTGCATCATTTCCAGGAAAATTCTCAACCGTAATGTGACTCACGGTATTCTCTGGTGTTTTATATGTTTTAACAACAGTTGTTGGAGTTTTTATGGACGGTTGTGAACCATCTGTCCGTGTATCAATTTCATGGGTTTGCGAATTCGAAAATCGAGTCATAGTGCTTGTTTCGTATAATTTGGTTGAATCTTTACGATTTTCCATTTCTGTTGCTGTCGAGGTTTTCCATGTGTTTGGCTGATCTGTAACATGAAGAGGATATGTGTTTGACTTATCAATAATTGTCTTTGTTGCCGTCATGCCAGATGTAGCAGTGGATTCATCTACAACATAAGGACTTTCTGCCTGCAATGTTGTACGTTGCTTTGTTGGCCTTTGATCATACGTAGTTCTCTGCGCCAGTGTTGCATCCTGTAATTCAGCTGTCGAGGTGTCCACATTATACGTAGATTTGGCAGAGATTGTGTATGGTGAAGATCTGGTATATTTGTCAGAGTTTGTAGATAACGATGTACTTGGGATCTTTTGACTCGTGTTTAAGGACGCTGTTTGAGCCTTTTCCACATTGACACTAGTATCTAAAGACTGCAATCGTCTTGATTCCTTACCAGAGTTAACTATTTCGAAATCCGAATGTGTTATATAATCCCTACTGGACATATCTGTTGACATTGAGCTCTCCGTGTGTATTTCTGGTGTAGTCATTTCTTTTGTTGGATTTTGATCGACGAGACTTTTCTGCAACAGTGTTTCATCAGGTAAACCATTTGTTGTGGGATCTTTATTTTGATACTTAGATATACCAAAGGTTTGTAGTTGTGTAGAATCTTTGGCCATTGGACTATTTCCCGAAAAATCAGTTGGTTTGTCAGACGATGTATAAGTTAATTTTGTACTAAAACCTGATGTTTTTGTACTTGGATGAACAGATGTACTTTGGTGCTTCTCTTCCTTAAAATCAGTTATTGACTGGGTTTGTGTAAGCCCACTCTCCATTGTTTGAAAGTTTGAAAATTTCTTTAAATCTCTGGTTATATCTGTTGTCATTGTGTTATCTTCTGACGTCGTGGATATTTTTGAGGTCAAATGGTGGATTGTTGGTGATCCTGTTAATTCCTCTGTGTAATCATGTCGTTTCTCTTCTGTTGGTGACGGTCGAAGTTTCAATTTATCTTTGACGGTAGGTGGGTCAACAGCCGTTGTGGATTGCAAGTCAAAGGAATACGTTGGTGGTGTTTCTTTTTCAATCTGGAAATTGTCTACTTGAGGATAATTTGTTGGATTTTCTGTTAAAAAAGAATTTGGATTACTCTGTGCTACATACGGATTTAGTATTGTTTTTTCACTTGTCAACACTGCCGATGTTCGTTTCGAATAATCAAACCCCTCTGTTGTCATTTCATAGAATGAAGAAGTGGACATTTCATTTTCGTTTGGGTGTGGTACGTTTGTTGACCTGGTTCGACGAGTTCTAGCCGTCTCTTCATAATTGGATTTCATATTCACAGATGTAGTGGTGTCCTGTTGTAAGTTTTTAGAGAAAATTTGATATTGTGTTGACTTTCTACCTTTGATTTTGTATATATTTTCTTTGTCAGTTCGTTGTTGTTCTGATACACGACTGGATGTCGAGACCTTAGTATCCTCTATGGTCTGCTGAGATGAAGTGTGGTATGGCTTTGTGCCTTGTAATGTAGTTTGTTTCATCTTACTATCTGTTGACTGAATATTGACACTCGGTGAAACTGGATTACTTTTTGTACGTTTTGATTTTATTCTATTCACTACAGCATCGATAAGAAAATCTTCAGACGGCGCTGCTGCATTTAATTTTCTCATTTTTGCTGTAAGTTGTTTAATAAGATTTTCAATGTAAAGTCTTGTCGCTAAATCTAGGTCTTTATCCGCTGATTTTGTTGGTGCCTGTGTAATCGGTGACTCGTTTATTGTAGTTGGTAGTACTGTAGTCATAATTATTTCCGTTAGTGTTTTTTGAATTTCACTTTTTGACTTAGATGTTAAAGCAGGTGTTTGTGTGGTTGTTCTCTTTCGGCGACTTCTTGTTGTCTGAATTGTTGATGTATCTGTAGAAGTTAGTGGTACAGTTATTTTTTCTGTCGTTGATGTTTCTGTAGAAGTAAGTGGTACAGTTATCTTTTCTGTCGTTGATGTCTCTGTAGTCGTTTGTGGTGCAGTTATCTTTTCTGTTGTTGCTTTGGTTGAAGTTGTGGTAGATAAAATCGTAGTCGTAGTTGCTTGATCAGTACTGGTTGGTAATTCACGTGTATGTGCTGGTTTCCTTAACATCTTTTGACTGTTTAGAGATTTGCGTTGACTGGTCTCTTCTCTTATGTATTGGTTTTTCGTATTTGGCAAATCATAATTTACTGTAGAATGTATTTCTTTTGATTTAGATGATACTTTTGAGGAAAGAGTCTTTGTTGTTGGTTCTACTTGGGCGCTTCTTCTGCTTGTTATTTCATTTTGCTTTTTGTTAGTCTTGTTTGCCTGTATTGTGGTCCTTTTCTCGGCTGTTTTAAAGTTGTCTACACTTTTGAGAGACACAGGGGAAACTGTTGTATCAACAGTTGTTTCTTTTATTGATTTATGCATTGCAGATTCACGCCGCTTATACTGAAGTGGTCTGTTATGTTTGTGCATCTGCGGATATAACTGAGCCGTGTTTGGTACATCATGTACAGATAAGTGAAGGTCTTGCTGCGAATCGGAGAAGGGATCCGTGTAAAGTATATCCTCTTTAGTTTTAACCGAGTTTTTCCTTCTTTTAACAGATGAGAGTCCTATTTCCGAATGTTTGTCGTCTAATGAATTGTAAAATTTGCTTCTCCTGCCCGAATTATCTAGACTTGGAAAGAGTTGAATAGGCATGACACTGTCTTTGCTTTGTCTGTATTCTCCTATTCCCATCACGGTAGGTTTATTGTCGTTGTACCGTTTTTGTGCTTGGTATGGTTGTGCTTGAAAAAGGTACGAACCAGGTTGTCGAGTGTGACTTTCAAAAGATGAAGGCAGATTGACCGAAAAAACGTATGAGTATGGTTCGAAGGTAGTTCGTCTAGTTCTTTGAGGTATGGATTTTTGTTCTGTATTCCACAAAGAGTCAAATCTGTTTCTTTGTCGTAAATTTGAGAAATCCCCTGGCTCCTTTAATAATGATTTTGAACCGGATCGATTTTTCCTACGGTAAGCTGAATCATTTGGGATACTATCTGACAGAACTGGTGGATCTATAGCATATAATTTGTAGAGTTCATCTTTTCCTTGCGGACTTACCATATTTCGATATCTAGCAGTTGTCGTTTCTTGTTCAGATATTTTATCATTATTGTATGAAAGTGTTCGGAATTTATTTCTTCTTAGAAAAGTTATATTTGGTTTGTCACTTTGATTTTTAGAAGAAGTAGTTCGATTGATTTTTTGGCGCAGAATATCACCCATTGGAGACGTCATTCTCTGTGCATTTGAGGAGGACCCACCATAAAGTCTCTTCTCAAGTAACTTCAAGTTATTCTTTATTAAATCTAGGGCTGAAACCAAGTCCCTATCTTTAACAGTTGGAGTGTGCATACCTGTATGCTGGAACTCAGACATGATTTGTGTAACCTCGGGAGTATTCATCCCTGTATGTTGGAATTCCGACATAATTTGTTTTTCAGCAGATGGCAGGATTGAAGTATACATATTTTGGGATGCATTAAACCGATCTATCATCTCTTCCAATACGGAATAAGACGGTGGTGTAGGTTTATTTTCCTCTCTTGACGTAGGCACATTTATTGAAGTCACAACTGGTACATCCTTTCCATTCAATTTAAGACTTTTATTGAGAGCCGTGGACACTGGGATCACGGTTGTTTGTTCCTGATCTGGAATGCTTGCTATTTCATTTGTTTGATTCTGCTTTTTAATGAATCCTGCAGCTTGAAATTTATCCCAATCAACATAGAATGTATCGGAGTTTACTTTAAGCTCAACAAGTTTGCCTGGATTATCAGCGGGTTGATTTTCTGTCACAGTTGCAATTTGATCAAGATTTTCATTCTTGATATCAGGATATTTCATTGTAGTTGAGGAAACTCGACTTTTGACAGATTGGGTTTGAACTGTAGCAGTTGATTGGTAATTTATTCTCTTTTTCCGACTTTCATCAAAAATGGAATTCAATTCTTGCGATAAGCTATCAGGAATTTTGATATTATTTTTCCTTGCAAGATGCAGGAGCGCTGCTAACACATTTTGCTCAGGATCATTTGTTTCTGGCAAAGAAAATTCTGTTGTTTGCGTCTGCTGAACAGAATCTATATTACCTCGTGTAGATGTCAAATCCTTCGGTGTAGTAATATCTGTAAATGGTGATAAGGTTGTTGTTGGTGTTGTGACTGACGAGGTTACGGAGATGTGAGCTGGTTGTGTTATTGATTTGACCTCCCTTGTAGTTCGTGACAGTGTTGTACTTGAGCTCTCTACATTGCCTGGGTTCTTTGTGTTAGGCGAAATGCTATCTGCCGACACGAGACCGAGTGACTGAAGCTTTACCCAGTCTAGATAGTACGTTTGGTTGTTAATTTTGATTTTTATCAAATTATCAGCACTTTTTCTGTCGGATGGCCGACTTGTTTCATCGAGAGATGTAATTGTATAAGTCTTTGCTGCAGGGGTACTCTTTCTTGAAAATAAATTGATAGGAGGTGATGTTGTAGCTTCCCTACCTTCAATTATAACAGGTGGCATTGTTGTTTGATTTTCAGAGCCTACAGATTTATCAATTTGGAAAGTAGTTCTTGTGACAACAGGGCTGCTTTCATTAATTGTGTTGGATGCATCCTTAGTTTTGCTATTTAATTTGTAAACTGTCAACGTTTCTGATTTACTTGGTATTTCTTTATTCGATAGAACTACATTTTTATCATTTTTTGAAAAGAGTGTTTTAAGTTGATTGACCATGAGGCCTGGTATGTCAACTTGGGAATTTTTAGCATCATTGATTAAGGTATCGATGTTGTCTACAGAATCTTTTCCATTAACTATGTCCGCAGATTTTTCATTTAAGCTATTCTCTTGGATGTTGTTTGAATAAAAAGAGCCCGGAGAACCACCTGATACTTCGCGATTCATCTTTCTAAAAGCTGATGGTTGATCTTGAAGAATTTGATACCCTTGAATTAAATTGGACGTTTCTGGAGGAATGACTCGAATACTTTCCTGAAGATTTGCGTTATCCCTCTTGAGATTATTTGTATTCTGTTCTGTTGTTTGTGGTTTTATATCCATTATTGTTGTTTGTGTTGTTATTGAAGTTGATTTTTCTGCAGTGTTCTCCAAGTTGCCTGTCGTATATTGCTCTGTTGTAGTTGATTTATCTTCGAAAAACTGTGTTGTTTGGCTCGGCTTTAGTGACTGGTTTGTTATATCGGCCACAGTGACTTTAGATTGCTGTTCGATTATGCTTGCTTGTGTTGGTGCTTGGGTTGTTAGAAGACGTCCCTTCACATTAGATGAGGCTATAGTTGTCTCCATTGTAGAGTATGTTGTTGTAACTGACTGCACCGTTGTTGGTTCAGAGGATGATGTTGGTTCTGACGTGGTGGTTGGAGATTCTGTTATGCTTATTGTCTCTGTAGATGTTATTGATTCCATTGGTGTTGTACTTGTTTTTTGGGTAAAAGTCGTTGTAGCCATTGAAGTTGTTGTTGGCATTGTTGTAGTCGTAGTAGACGTTTCAGTTGTAGTTGGTGTTGTAGTTGTTGCTGTGGTTGATGTTGTAGTCGGTGTTGTGGTTGGTGTTGTGGTTGGTGTTGGAGTAGTAGTAGTAGTAGTAGTAGTTGTTGTTGTTGTTGTTGAAGTCGTTGTTGGTCGAAGCTTTTTATACAAGTTACGGTTGAATAGTTCTAAATAAGCAAGACTAGCAGTAGTAGTTGTTGGGATAGTTGGTTGTGTTGTCGTTTCTGTTGTTGTCTCAGGTTCCACAGTTGTTGTAGGAATTGGTGTTGTTGTTGTTGTTGTTGTGGGTGTATTCGTTGTACTGGTTGTCGGTTTTGGAGTAGTCGATGTTGGAGTTGTAGGTGGTGGCATTGTTGTTGTCGTTGTTGTTGTGGTTGTCTTTGGTTTAGGACGGAGTTTATAATAAAGCGTTGGGTTAAACAATTCGAGGAACGCCATTGATTGGGTAGTTGTTGTTGGTTCTGTTGTTGTAGTGGTTGTTGGCTCTGTTGTTGTAGTGGTTGTACTTGGCTCTGACGTAGTTGTTGGAATTGTCGTTGTTGATTTTGGAAGTGTTGCGGTGAATGCGATTTTTTCAGTTGCTAATTTGTTGTTTTCAATCCATTTGACCCTACTGCTTTTTCGGAAAGCAGATCTAAAAGCACTCCCAGAATCCATTATTCTCTTGTTTGAGCGTGTTGTTGGAGGCTGAGTAGTTGGAATTTCAGTCGTACTTGTTGGTTCTGGTGTAGTGGTTACTTTGGGTTTTGGTCGGAGTTTTTTGTATAAATCGGGATTAAATATCTCTAGGAATGCTAGTGATAAGGTTGTTGTAGTAGGCGCGGTTGTTGTTGTTGTAGTTGGGGTTGTTGTGGTAGTAGGAGTTGTCGTTGTAGTTGGGGTGGTTGTTGTTGTAGTTGGGGTGGTTGTTGTTGAAGTAGGGGTGGTCGTGGTGGTAGGGTTTGTTGTTGTTGAAGTAGTTGAAGGTGTTGTGGTACTTGCAGTAGTTGTAGATCGAATGGTGGTCGTCTTTGGAATATCTAGTGTACTTATTTTTCTTCGCATTTCTTCCTTTAACTGTGCCTTTTTGGTGGTTATAAGTTTGGTCGTTGAGACTGGAGTGGTTGTTATTGGTAATGTTGTAGTAGTTGTAGTAGTCGTAGTCGTTTTTGGACGCAACCTGTTATACCTTGTTCGATCAAATAATTCTAAATAAGCCATAGATATTGTTGTTTGCTCAGGTGTTGTAGTTGTTGTTGTCGGATTAGTTGTAGTCGGCTCTGTTGTGGTAGTTGTTGATTGCTGTTCTGTTTCTGTTGTTAACAATTCTGTTTCTGTTGTTAATAATTCTGCCTTTGTTGAAGCAGTTTGAAATTCAGGACTAACCCGATCGGTAATTAAATTCTCTGCTGTAGTAGTTGTTGGCCTTTGTGTTGTCCTTGGTTTTGGCTTTAGTTTTTTGTATTGTTCAGGGTAAAAAAGCTCGATATAAGCCATGTTCATTGTTGTTGTTTTTCGTTTAGGGGCAGTTGTTGTCATTGGCGCCTTGGTTGTTGGGGGAGACCTGTTTAATATTGAGGGTGTAAAATCTTTTCCAGATGTCAAGTTCCTTCTTTCTTTCATTCGTTTCATAATTTCTAGTCGGAGGAATTCTAAAAAGCCTAATGTAGTGGCAGATGTGGTGCGAGTATAAGGTGATGGGGAAGTGCCTGTATACTCCATGTATGGCGACTCTGAAGTCATTTCTGTTATAGTACTTGAAGGCTTTGATTCCAATGAAGGAGTTGTTTCCGTCACTTTTCTTGTTATTTTTGCGCTATCAGAAGTAATTTTCAGCTGATCAGGTGTTGTTTTTACTTTTTCTGAATTTAGTTGAATTTTGGGAGGAAGTGTTTGAATCATTTTTAAATCTTTAAAAGATGGGTCCTGAGCATTGGAATCATACTTGATGGGCTTCTCTGTTTCATAATCAAACTTTTCTATTGTATGAGCCGATATTGGTTCTACTGTATTTTCCCGATCTTTGTCTTTAAATGCTTGTGTTTGAACAATATTATTGAGATCAGTATTTGTCGATAGCACAGGAGGTTTAGTTGTTCTCTGAAAAACTAAAGTCTGTTCAAAACTTTTCGAAGCTGGAAGCAATGCCTTTATGCTGGTTCTTACATTAGCCTCCGTAGTAATTTCCGGACTTTCCTCTGTCACGTATGGAGGCAGAATGAAAGTAGTCTGTCTATTCCCATTCAAAATATCTTTGCCTGATTTATCATTTGTAAGTTCTGTAATCGTGGATCCCCTTTCCAAGCTCTGCAAAGTGGTATGTTTGCGAAGATCATTCCGATTATCTTTTGTTGTAAACATCGATAGATCTGTGGCTTCAGTAGGAACTGTTGTTTCTTCATAAAGAACGGTACTCTTTCTTTCCAGGGTATTGAAATGCTTGTCCTCAGGAATGGAAATCATTTGTTTTGTTGTTGAACGTAATGAATCCGTCTGCTTTTCGGTTGAAATTGATGGAGAAGCTAATGTTGTTTGTTTTGAAAGACTAATTTTATTGTCTGTCAGTGGACTGTAATCTGGGGTTACATCATAATTTTCAATTGCATTAGGGGAGATTTTCTGATCAACTGAAGTTTCACTCTGAAATAAAGATTGCATCTTTGCTGTAGTACTCTGTGTCTCTTGATATGGTTCACTCACTTGTTTTTGAGAGAAAGCTAAATCTTCCAATAAACTCTTTCGTGGTGTTTCTTTTGAAACCAATATATTTGTAGAAGGTATTGGTAACTCGTGATTTGAAAACTGATCTTCTATCATCTGAACAAAAGCACTGGCATCGGCTGGTTTCATTGTATAAATTTCTCCTTTTGGAATTGGTGCATCGGTATGGATAGACACAGACCTACTCTTGTGAGAAATTGATGACATAGGTTTCCATGTTGGAGGGGTACCCATAAAATCTTTAGATGAATTCATTTTTGAATCAGGAGGGACAATGTAAACACCAACGTTTTTTAAAACCGAGACATCGTTTGACGTGGGATTTTGGTCCTTCTTGGTGTTGTCTGACTGTGAATACGAAATTTCGTTTTTCTGAATACCAACAGAGTTTTCTGATTCTGGGTTGTAAGCCATTTGCAATGTTTTGTAAATTTTTCTGGTATTATCAATTAAATTTTTCTTCATTGATTCAGTCTGAAGTAGTGCTTCAAATGTTGTTTGAGGGGGTTCAGTAGGTACATGGAAATGATCGTGCAGATCTGCAGGTTGGTGAAATAAAATATTCTCCAATTCTGGTGTATTTGTTGTTAGATAAGCTCTCAGTCTTTTCTCGATCACACTTGGAACATTAATATTACCAACATTAGGGATGTCTTGAAAAGAGTATTCTGGATGTTTATGAATTGTATGATGATGAGGATCAGCAGGAGCTAATCCACCAGCTGCAGTGGAAGGATCCATCACCGTCATATCATGGTGTGGATGATGATGATGGTGATCTGGTGGGGGTGGAGGTGAGCTAGGAGTTTCCGGCACAGGCGTTGCCTCCGTAATGGAAGGATTTAAATCTGAGACCGTATTAGAAGAAACAGATGTCTTCTGAATTTCTTGCATAGATTTTTCAGTGTATGCCTCTGTAGCAAGCTTTTGTGTCGTAGTCTGTTTGTTTGTCTTTGTGTTGATTTTTTCTTGCTCTCTCTGTATGGCAGCAAAAAGTTCCGGGTCCTGTTCTCCCTGTTTTTGTTTTAGAGTATACAGCTCCAAGAGGAAATCCAAGTAGCTATTTTGTTTGGCTGAACCAAATCCAATATTTAAGGTAGTTTTTGCCGCGGAATCTATTTTCGGTATTGGAGTTGTTTGTGCTACAGTCGAAGTAGGTGGCATTGGTGTTGTTGTTGTTGTTGTTGTTGTTTTTACAGTTGATGTCGATATCGATTGTGTTGTTTTTGTTGTAGTTGTTGTTGTGGGGGATTGAGGCGGCGGTTTGGTTGTTCGAAAGGGCAATCCCAACAATCCCAACTTCTTTGGTTTCTTTGTCGACGATGGAGGACCAGGAGCTTCTGTTGAAGGGTTTGGCTTTTGTGTTATCTTAGGTCTTGTCGTTGTTGCCTTCGTGGTAGCTTGTTCTTTTTGTGCTACCTGTTCATTAGTCTTAGTAGCTGAACTTTCAGTTACAATTAGGTAGAAAGGGTCGATTATATTTGGGTTGAACTTTTGCTCTCTATCAATCGGAATTCGCACCGTTTGAGCTCGTTTCATTCCACGTGCAACAAACTCTCGCGTCTCTGGAGCCACCTGACCAGTTCTGAACATTTGCCGTAGATGGCCAAGTTTGGTCGATTTTCTTGCCAATGCATTTGCATGCGGTATATTAGATTGAGATTTTGCTACTTCTTTTTGAAATTGATTATTATTTACATGTAAGGAACCTGCTGTACGTGAATGAAAATTTCCTTGTTGAATGTTTTGTCTTTGTCCTCGAAATGTTGCTCTTGGGTCAGAAAATTGTTGACCTCTGATCGGCGAAGCATTTCTGTTGTTCATTATTCCTGCTGGTTGCTGAAGTCCTTGGGTTCTTATTGGACTATTCAGCGAGTTTTGCATAAATCCCTGCTGTGCTATTGGACGAGATGTGCCGGCGTGTGATACGAGCCTCGGTTTAGTGACTGGTCTCGGTTTCAGGACAGTAGTTTGACCACTTCTTCTAGGCTGGTTAGTCCAGGTCCTAACGTTCCTCTGTTGTGACCATTGAGTCTGCTTAGGGGTATTCCAGGTATTGGCCAATCCATCATGGACAATGAACCGTCTGTCCACTCTGTTGGACTGGCGCTTCTTCCTCACTGTACGAACTGACGGACTGTCTCCGGTAATTCTGATATCAGCACAGTTAATGGTTGAAATTCTACAGTCTGTACAGCCTGGGTCAACTAGAAAAAGAAAGTACGAAACATAATTTTATATACTCATTCTGGACGTAGTTACTAGTATTTTAGCTAAAGTCTTTGGCTTGGCCAAAAATGGCATAGCTTCAGAGATATATTGTTCAGAAAGATGAATTATGGCACCTCTTCTTTTTGTCTTTCATTCAAATATTTTTGCTTCAGAATGAAGTTTATGTTTTACCTTTTTAGATACGTTAAAGATTTTTGTCCATGTGGGTATTTTACATTTAATCTATTGATTTAGAAAAATTTCACTATTAGAAGAAAAAAAATTATCAACATCAAATGTTTGAAAAAAAAGTTAAAATTTTAGAAAACATGGAGCAAACGCTTGATTATAGGTTGAAAATAAAGTTAAATGTATTGCAAAAACGAAGCAATTAAAACAGTTTATATAAAACAGAGTCAGACATTTTTAGCCTAAAATTCGATGAAGATTTAGCACGTGCGGGTTAGGGCGGGTTTCATTCATGTTCTTCTGTATTTTGTGCTTTTATTGTTATTGACAGGGAGAGTTTTACTTTTTCTGTAGTTAAATGTCGCAGAAATGATCTTTGATTGTGTGGCGTAGTGACAGTAATGGTTTGATATTTATCATACATCGTTTAAAGTGTCATAATGAATTGTAACTGATATGTGTTCTTACACAATAAACCAAGTCTTAATTGTCCTAGATCACTAGTTTCATTGTATATGCAATAAATTAATGGCATTATTTATAAAAAAGACAATTTGATAACTTGATATATACATGATGTTAAAATGCTCTATGAAAGATATCATGTGGCATCAACTGTATTTAAAAAATCTCCGTGCTTTTCTCTTGGTTTAGGCATTTCCGAGATAAATATCTAACGAACATTTTGTTACGTCATGATGAAACATTTGTAATTTTTCAGATTTTTCATTTGTGCGTGTGTCTCTTAATGAAGGAGTGACATGGAATATTCCTTTTTTTCTAATCTAATTTTATAATTGATTTTCAGGAACCTGCTCCTTTTTACGTTACATAAAATTTTGCTTTATGCCTGGCTGAGAGACTACGACATTTTGCATTAAAAGGTAATTCCACCATTTGGTATTGCAATGAAATTTAAATAGATCTATAAAAGGTTTTCCACATAGTGTAGATATTTTTGTACATTACCTATATTGGCAGATAATGGTAGAATTGTACAAAGTTTTCAAAGTGAAGTCGTATCCCATACCCATCTATATAAATACCAGGTAATTCCCGTATGACACAATGTGTTAAAAGATGAATGTCATCGTACCACAATAATTCAGAGGGTTCTCTTATATAAGTTTCTCTAAATAGACCTGTGCTGATTTACGACAATTTGGAGATGACTGCCTGTAATTATGATCATGAGCTGGAAATTACCACTGTAACTTTCTAGGTTTGTGGTGTCAAAGAACGCACACAACTCTTAAGAAAACATAAAATTTTATTTATATCTATTCATGGTAGCAAAATTTTGACATTATTCTAAAATGTCATGATTCACTGAATGGATATGCTGAGAGTACTTTAATGTGAGTATTATGAGTAAGTTTTGGTACATACCCTCAGTAAACTTCCATCGCAATACACAGTGTTCACAGCCCACGCCCTCTGGAAGTAACAGTGGAGTTGTCTCCTCCTTTGATCGATCGAATCTGATCTCGTAAGAATTGGAATCCAGCGAGAGTAGTGGGATATCTTGCTGACACTCCTCATCCTCAGGTTTGGAAGAGTCAATTCGAACACACAGCGAAACTCGTAAAATCCCGCCAAATGTCGTGTTCACACGAGATTTAATTTCTATGATGTCACCGGAAGACAGTGTGTTCACTATAATTACTTCCGATATGTTTGTAATATCTGACGAATGACTTTGTGAGCAGTATCTACAGCTACTCTCTTTTGTCTGAAATAATAAAAAAAAGATTATACTATAACAGCATAATGTTAAAGATTGTAAATAGCACAAAAATAAAGAATTCCCTTAATCAGACGTTTTAGAGGTATTTTGGTTGAAAATGTGTACTAATCTCCAAAAAATTTTACAAGTATTAGGAAATGTTTCATGTTAGTCTGATGAATACTTTATTTTAGAAAGATTTGTGGGGAAAATCTTTCTGTAAACATTTGATTTTTATTTATTAAATTAAGGAATGACATACAAAACGCTTTCTAATTCAGTTTGATTTCTTATTTGGTTGGGAGTTTTCATTAGGAAAGGTATACATGCTGGCAGGCTTGGGACGAATTACATTGTAAAGTAATGCATTACATTACCATTACTTTAACAATTTGGGCATTAAATTACCATTACTCTATTTTCTGAAAGTAATGCATTACCATTACCATTACTTTTTTGGAGGTTTTTTTTTTAAAAATAGAAAACTTAAATGTAATTGTAAGTGTACTTTCAACAGAATAAAAAGTGTATCTAAATAGACACAGGAAAATTATTTAAATTGCTAGGTTAACTTTTATCATTCAGTTAAATCATTTGCAAATAACAAATTATCTAAACAATAATTTCCATGTCCATTTTTTATTTCTTAAAATGGGTACATACAAAATAATGATGTGTAATGCAATGTAATGCCAGCATTACATAGGATTTTATGAAGTAATGCATTACATTACCATTACATGTAATGCAAATTTTTGGGCATTACACATTACTAGCATTACCATTACAATAAACATTACCCCAAACCTGCCTGCAGGATTAAAAAAAATCTTTTCGCTTGATTTATAGTAATATTAATGGAAATAAAAGTCGGTAAATCACAGTAATTGAAAGAATGTAATAATTAATACAGCGGTTTGATTTAGTCAAAATGAGTATAACACGTCTAATTTTCCTTAATGCCTATCATCAATTTTATTGTCGAGTGGGTCGATACTGTATTACTTTTTTTCCAGCTTATTTTATATCAACTTATTGCATAGAGATTGCGTTTTGATAAAGAGCATTCCTGACAAACGATTTTTAAGAACTAATTTGGCATGTACATATGGTCAACTATTTTAATCTCTAGATCTGACATTTTAAAATTAATTAAAATTAAAATTGTCACATTATGAAAAAGTTAGGAATTTGGTGTCCTCACTTATCTTTTTTTTTTTTCAATTTTATCTTCATTTATAGTGTGTTGTATAAATGATGAATAGCACATGAAAAGACTATTTTAATTCCATATCACCTGGGAATAAACCTTTTTCATTACATAAGACAACTTTTTATGTCTCTGACATTTAATTTTCAATGTTTCAAGCTCAAAATATGAAAATATTTTGTTTTTAATTCATGTTATTTAAAAAATATATTCCAAAGAATAAATCAAGATAATTGCATTACATATTCAAATTGCAAAGTCTTCATGGGTCGCATTGGTAACAAGGATTTTTTTGTCAACTAATTTGTTACCATATGTCAATGTTTTACTTTGTATTGAAATGCAATGCAACTCAAAGTTCAGTTGTTTTGCATTCTTTAACATATTCTTCAACTATAAAAAACTTAAGTCAGGATTATTTTTTTGTTAATCTTGAAGAAGATAAATGACTTTACAGCGTCTTATGACAGGTGTGTCACTTAAGTTAATATTTATGCTTTCCTCCCATACCAGGTGCCTTTTTAAAACTTTTTCTATTTACATGGAAAACATGGATTTTTCATGTTAAAAGCCAGTGCTGCAAATGACTGGACTAATTTAATCTAAGCATTGTTTGTTTATACTATCGACCCTATCCTTGTAGTTGCATGCTTTAATTATTTTGTAAATGACGCTAATTTTAATAAAATACTTAACTACGAGTACATCTTATGTAAAACCGGTTGCAAATTATTGCAGATTGCTTGCTGTCTTTCTGCCTAATTGCCGCTTCTATTTTTTGTGTTTACCTTGAAAATAAAACATTACATAAGCAAGGATTTGGGTACTAATGCGTCGTGGAAGATGTTTCCCATTATTAATTCATTCGACCTCGCAATGAGCAACGACTCTTTCCTTCTCATTAAACTTTGTTCTATTAATAAGAGGAAGGCGGCTAATTTAACAAGAACATGGACTTATCGGGAAGTATAACGAATTTTCAAAAAATAAAACATAAAATCTGTAAGATTATAAAATTTGTAATTTATGATATTGCGATCGTTTTAATTAACTACAACAAAGATTGTTTTTCTGTTTTATTTTCCTCTTCATGTATATCAAATTTATTAAACATCTTAGCTGCTGTTTTAATTCTTTGGTAAATGAATTGTTTTTAATATATTTCTGTGGTCATTATTCAATTTATTTCCATAATAAATGATTGGGAATGAACCTTGAACACGTAATGTGGTTATTACATTTGACAGAAGAATGGGAATTATGAAAATTCTGCATTGTTTTTGCCTGGATGAGTTATATTCATTGACTATGTAGCGGACATTTACATGGATATTGTATTCAATAATCATGTACTCTGTGTTGATAGCATCATTACCTCCTTTAAATTGTTTTATATGATTTAATTAAACTGATAATTAATGACATTACTGATGTTTTAGTGACTGCTAATTGTTAGATAATTCAATGAAGGTATGAGAGTCAACAGAAATAGAAGAACATTATTTTTATATAGTCAAATTAAAAAGCCTGAAACTAGCAGGCCTATGGTACTAGTATTTATCTATAAGTACTACGTATGTTAAAAATAAATCCTCTAAGTCTTAATTCATGATCATACGAGTTGAAGTATTGTTTTCCCCTACATATAAAATGTGATAATGTATTTCTTCAATGATTGTTAAATTAGATTGCTAACACTGTAGGCTTCTGTGTCAATTGAAGATTTAATTCAACCCCTCCCATCCCTTTATAGATAAAGCTTGATTTTTTTATTGACAGATAAAAATATGCTTGTAATGCTCTGAAAAAAAATTATAAATGAGGATATGAAAATCACTCCCCCTCTTTATTTGCATCTCTCTCTATATATATATATCTCTCTTTCCTGGTTGACTACAATGAACACAAGCCTTCTGTGAATCTGAACAAAAATATATCTTAATATTGCCAATAATTTAAATTTATTACGTCTCAAGAAAACAAAATATAACAAAATTGTTCATTCAGGTACTGTACTGTTCTTTATATTTCTCTTTAAAAAGTCTGGGACTTCAAAGAATGTGGTCATTTTATTGCTCTTAGGCATCATTTCAGAAAAGTTTTTAAGGTCTTTGAAAATTTTAGTGAACAATCAACAATTTGCCATTTTTATGATCGTATTCGACATTATTTGCTTTCTATGGTGCCCTGTCAAAATACTTCACATATTATAATACTAGGCTTCAACAGAAGTTTGCTTTTAAATGTAAATTAAAAAACAGGGATTCATTTTTCTCTGTCGCAAGAAGATTATATTCTGCACGACTGACGGAGATGTTATCATTAGACGCTACACGAACAACGAACCGCACGCGGAAATATGTACGCATCAAATTATAAATGCAGCAACCGAAAGAACAATTTTGTAATAAAACAAAAATATCGCTGTGAACAGTTTTCACGTAGATTTATGTTAATACGCTGATATTACAAATCACCGGGAAATACTTGACTGAATACTAAATGGAATAAAAATGCACCTTGTGGTTACGAGTTAATTGACATATTATATTAAACTATCGAAACGGCTACATGCTACAAAACCAGAGAGCATTGTTAAGTTAATTGAAAAATGACTATTTGTAAAGTACGTTAATACTGCAAGCTTTAAAAATGTACATTAACACAGCAGGCTTTAAGAATGAAGTTTATTTTTAAAAAATATCAATAATAAAGATTTGTATATATATCCCTATCGCAAAGGTCATTGAGAACAAACATCTAAAAATAGGCAAATAATGTAACAATCCTATTGCTCTGATACCTTATGTCCATCTTTGAGAAGGGTAAGCTATATAAATTATAATATTTGTTTCAATCACCCATAACATCCCCTTCCCTCAAGAAAGGTAAGCGGTTGTTAATGTAGTTAAGTCATTTTATCAGATTTTTCATTTCAAAACTGTCGCCCGCGGGCGCAGTGGTTAGAGCGTCTGCTCTAGAGTCGCGAAGTAAGGAGTTGGTCCTTATTTCGCGGGTTCGAATCACGTGTCTCAGTAGGTGCTGGCTAGAAAAAAATCCCTCCCTGCTGAATGGCCCTAAGTGCCGAGTATAGGACAAAATTTGCAGCTCTCCATCGGCAAGTGGTGGTGTCTCCATAAGAGTGAAAACTTCTCGAGAGGGACAGTAAACAATATACAGTCGATCAATCAATCAATCAATCATTTCAAAACTATAATAATTTCAATTCCCTACACTTGGTATAGACAAAATTATAACTCTCCATGGACTGTTAGTAGAAAATAGCTCAAATATTGTGCTTCTAGATTGGATTAACAAAATAGGTTGAATGTATAGTATTTCTCCATCTGTTCCTGCCTCCTTAATAGAAGATTCCTAATATTGTTTGGCAATCTCGTAGCTGACACAGCCATCTCCTCAGAAAAATATGGTAGACTGCATCACTGAATTGTGCATAAATATTAGATCACAATCATGTATATTGATTTATTATGCAAATTAATTGACCTATATCTTTTTACAAATTCCTGTCGAAAGGGGAGAAAATATGTGAAGTTCGGTGAAAATGACATTATTTGACACTGTTGAATTTGTAATTGTAAACTGATTGTAAATCAAAGGGTAAACTGTACTTTTATTTTGAACTTTGTGCATTATTGGAAAACCATACATTTAAATTTCACCAATCAGAAACGTCTTTTATTCAATGCAGTGTAGCTTTTAATTCCTTGTCAAATAGTAGTATTCCTTTTGGTACATCAAAATAAGAGCTTAAGTCAAATACCGATCATAATCTAGTTTTTTTTAAATATTAGAAGAATATTTACTTTTGAAATATCTCAATCACCAGCTGCTGGTCTTGAAGCCGTGTAAAATAATCCTTATTATAATCAGACAAGTCAAAAATTGTCTCCACTGGAACAGAGATTTTATATTCAGAAAGAATCTCCGTAGTTTTTGCTATTACATAATATGTCCATTTAATCTATGACTTTATAAAGAGGAATTTTATTCTAAATTTTTGTCTTAAAAAGTTTTAAAATCAACAATTAAAGTATTATGGTATTCATTTCATTTTTCTTCTTTTTCAAACAAGTTAAGAACTATTTAAAATAGCTATCTTAAAGCGAACTATCACCATGTGTTAAATGTACCTTTCCTTTTCATTGGATATTTAAATATCATTAATTAGCATTCTATAATACAGTTTTTTCTCTACTTTTTCTTGATTTAATGTATGTACAAACGATAGTTATAACCCTGTCAATCAGACATTGCACTTCATGCAAGCGGTGGTGTAAGTTTGTCACAATATATCTATAGAATCTGACAGACACTTCACGCTAAATACATACAAATGACCACATCTGTTTCTGACAGGTACAAAAATAACAAAATATTTTTTTCTTCCTCTTTCCCTATTAAAAAAGACTTTCAAATAAAGAAATTTTATCGAATTCAAAAACCCTCTTCTTTGTAAAGTAAAGAATAAGATTTGTATAAGTATATATAATATAACCTTTAGAACACTTTTCGTTACAGACAAATAAAGAGGAGAAGACTACTACGTCAGTTTTTCATGTTCCCTTAGTATGAAATGTCTTGTCTGGACCTAAGCTGATATAGAATCATCCATGAGAAAAACACCCTTTCCTTACCTCTTTACACTTGAGTTGGTCAGTTGTCCAGCGTAGTGAATCTCCCCATACCCTGTGTCTGGGTGTTGGGTACACTAACTGTGATGTCTCTATTGATAATAATCCCTTTAACCCACAAACACACAGACAAAACGTCACAAACACAAATGTGTGCAGTCCTGGAATTCTTGAAGACATTGTTTGTTTTAGCAGACCTTTGGCGATCCTGATAATATTGAATGAAAAAAAAAACGAAACTGTAAAAATTTCCAAAGAAATTCTTCAGCAATTTTACATGGTTTCAAAACATCCCCAAGGATCTTGAGCCGAGCCACATCTTGGTGTCAATTGCACGGAGGCAAATTAAAAATTACTTATGCTAATTAAAGTTAGCAAGCTAAGCCAGCTAAGACTGAGGACGTCACATTTGACGGGGATGGCCTCTGACAGTTCATTTAACAATTGTATAAAAGTTTTACCAAGTTTATAAATAGAAAACAAAACTTCATTACTGTGTAGGTATAGAAGACTATCACACTTTACTTACGGTAAATTAATATACATAACGCCCATCATTACTTACTTTGTTCAAGAAAATACTTTTCTATATAGCATTTTTATTTTTCGACTTAAATTCAGATAAGAAAAAAAATATCTAGAACATTCAGGTTACATCACAAAACAACATACTTAGGTCATACTATTTAGTTTTTCAAATTTTGAAATTAATTTTCCAGAAGACTTTAAGTATGTTTTTTAATTAATTTTTTAAATTAATGTCTTGTCATATTTTTGAAGTATCTGGTCTTTTTCATTTGTTTAGTAAAAAATCTATTTTGTATTGTATAATTATTTTTATTTAAATTTTAGATTTTTCCATCTATTCTGTAAATATTTTTATTTGAATTGTATTTATTTATTTATTTTTTTTTGCAATCTATTATTTCCAGCATTGTTAAACATTCTTATTTGTACATGCATGAAAAGTTTTTCAACTTGTAATGAGTTGAATTACTAGTACTATACCTATTGCAGATTCCTAAATTTAATAAAAAGAATTATACTTATCGGGTTTCAGTAAATGGTTTACCCATACTCTTTCTTAACTCATCACTAAAATATTAACAGCAGGGAAGAAGAAAGCAGGAAAAGTGAACAATAACAAACTAGTAATCGAGAAGTGATGTAAATCAGATACATAATATCATATTTAAATACTCCAAAAACCTTTAGAAATTTGAAATCCCAAAATTTACCCAAATCAATATCATCGAAAAAAGTACATACGACTTTTCTTCATATCCACTTTATACATCTATTCCTCTTGACATATTTAAGTCCAGGGTTTTTGACATCAAAGACGATTGCTTTTCAATAAAAATGAAACTTGTGAAACCACAACTTGGCATCGGTCGTTTCCTAAATTATTTTGTAAAAACATTCTGATTGTTCAAACAAATACTCTGAAATTGATAATAAAAATATGTTTGAGCTTCTATGTGGTTTTTGGAGACTAGTTCTTTCAGCAATTTGCTGGAATTCCCATTGATGCCAATTGCTCCCCTTATAAACAGACCTTTTTTGTATTAATAAACTGCTGAATATTTTAAAACACTTGCTGTGCCCTTCAACTCGACATTTAGATATAGCGACGACGTATATGACTATTTCCATTCATATGACCACACGTTGTATCCCAGTAAGCTTGAAATAAAAGAAAGTAACTAAGAATCTGACTCCTCCGTTTCATACTGTAAATGCACATACTTTCGTGGGGTCAAATTTCATGATTGAGGAAAAACTCTTGGTTCGTAGGCTTTCATTTTATGGATGAATAATTGTTGAGTAGTTTTGTGTGTAATATTCTACATTGCGTGGTGGTCATGAATTCGTTGTCTTTGCATGATTTGAATACATCGAAAATTAAACCACATTGAAAATTTGTGATTTCACAGTATTTTGATATTTTACTAGAAAAGACTAATATTATACTATATAAAATACAATAAATAATAATTATAATACTATAATATAGTAAAGTAAAGTACTATGACAACAACTTTTTTGATGAACGTGATGACCTTAACATACATCATTAACTTCCCTTGCTTATGCAGCAATATACCTTTATCACTTGCAGACAAGTTTTATATCTTTCAGTTGATTCGATACCGAAGAGCATGCTTTTCGTATGAACAATTTCTAAAACGAGGTATGTTATCGTTTTGTGGACAAACAAGTTAATGAAACAAGAATACGAAAAACTAGTTTAAAGTCAAAATTTTATAAGTTCTGTGGTCGATTACCTAACAATTACCCTGTTAGCGAATACAATATATCATTTAGTAAAATGCTGACTGACGCTAAAAAACTATTTTTTTCCTTTATTTAAACACTGAATTGTCAACAGATTTTTTTCTATTACAAGGAGCGCATGGCGGATGTGACCGGTCGACATGTAATGCTCAATTCTCCATGGCACCTGATTCCACCTCTCATGTTTTAGAGGTCTGTGTTTGCAATGCTCCAGATTTGTAATGTTTAAAGGACTTTAGAGCTTGAATACTGTTCGTTATCTCCATATATATTCCACTCCCAATATTTCTGTAAATGTTTGTATTTTCAAACTATTCTTGACATATCTTTAAGCTGAATTCTTCTGGTAATGGACAAAGGCTGTGAAACATGTGAAAATGTTAGGGGAGAATAAGTGGAGGGATTAAAGAAATAAAATATATTTTGTGTTTTACTTTGCGTTCAATGATGACAAATTTGTGTTTTGATGATCTTTTTAAAAGGAATGTGGGAAGTCTATTTTTACACAAACAATTTCAAAGAAAATTATTAATTTTGCAAAATTTTTCAATAATCTGAAGTTTTTGTTTGTCGTAAGTTCTTTTGTCCTGTATAGTTGAACAAAAACAATTAAAACATTCGATTATGTAAATAAGCGGCTAGCCTGTACCTTTTAAACACAAAGTTTGAAAATATATGCAAGAAGCGTAATACTTATCAATATTGTCTATGGGTTTGGCACTGATTAAGCATGCAGACGAGCGATTTTATTGATTTATATGACTTTTCTTACCAAAAGACAGCCCTTTTTTCTTTTAACTGTCAACGATTAGTTTGACATGATATCAATCCAATAAAAGATTATTGATTATAATAGATTTTTGTGCAAGAATCAATTAAAGAAACATGATGAATTTTCATTACATGAAATCAGCTAATTTGTTTCGGTTTGTTTGTCATATGGAGCAAAAAAGGTTAAAACCTTAATTTATTTCAGAAATAAACTCTGATAAATTTGCGTTTTGTGGTGAAATATATCACTGTGGGCATATCAATATGCCTTATGTGCAAATGAACCTTGTTTAAAGAAAATTAATCAAATTCTACATGGTTACCTAATTATTGAAACAATGATTCTTGATAGATATATAATTATCGTTTATTAAAATATTTAGTTTAATTAGCACGGTCGTCAGTGAATCATGCCTATTGAAATAAATTTTCTACGAAATCCTGTCATATATCTTATGCATTAAATGTGGTGGTTAAACGGAGATATAAACCTCAAAACAGACTGCTTACAATTGAAAGGCCAGTTTGATGTTTTTGAATCTCTAACATTCAAATTTATTGAGACAGCTAGAATCCAGATAATCACACTCTGATTTCAGGTGGGTTTTTTTTTTTCAAAATCTGTCCATCGTACCCCAGTCACATGGACTCGAATATTATCCAGTCTTGGATATTGGGAATTTTTCGTTATATAGAGATAATGAACAGTATTCAAGCTCAAAATTGCATGAAAACAATACGAAGTAGGAGCAAAGAAAACACGGACCTCAAAACATGAGGATGGGGAGTGAGGAACACCTGCCGACCGGTCACATCCGCCGTGTGCTCCTTGTCTTGCTTAAAAAATAACGGGGAAATCCGTTGTAAATATTGGCCTAACTATTTGTATGAAAAAACGCCACTGAGCGTTTGACTTAATGATAAATTGTATTTGCTGACAAGGTCATTGTATCGACGATAGAACATACCGAGAAATGACTTCAAACGAGACTACTGATATTCTTGTGCCAACAACTTGTTTGTTGATAACTCATCTCGTTTAAAAAATTTTCTTGCGTATCGAATCAACTGAGATATATAAATCCCTTATGCAGCTGATGAAGGTATATATTGCTTCATAAAAAAAGGGAAGATAACAAACTAAAAGTTAAAGCCATCTCGTTTGTCATAAAGCTTGGTTGTTAGATAACCATTAACGTCTTTTTCAAGTAAAATATCGAAATATGAAAGAGATGTGTGAGACTCCGTGGTATCTTTTATTTCAAGCCCACAAAGATCTATGATTGGTCTTTAGAAACTCAATAAAAAGAAGATAGCAGGGTCATCATATAAAAATATAAATATTTAAAAAAATTAAGTTTTTCCTTAGATTAAAACCCCCAGGGTAAGGCTAATCAGTGAATATTTAAAGTCTACAAAATGTATTTATGCAGAGAAAATAATCCCCAGATAAGCAAGATCATATAAGTAATATAAAAGAATGCCGATTTTGTTTTGATTCAATTTCGATTGAATCATATATGTTTTGAGATAGAATGGGACCATGATGTGAAATTTTTTCATTGAAATAAAAAGGTTTAAGATTTTGTAAATATCAAGCAAGAAAAGCTGGACAGGTGTGATTCAGATGGGGAGGGCCGCAATTTTGGACCTGTAATTGGCACTTAAACCCTTTGAGCAGTAAGGCGTATCTATCGTCCCAGCATCTACTGCTACATAGGTCCTCAATTTATAATATTTATAAATCTCTATCTATAAACCAAGCAAGAAATGAATTTGTACAGGAGCAAATAGCTAGGAAGACAATATTTGTTTTTTTTAAACAGTTTAACTGACAGCATAAAATAACGTACTTCGACATATATTTTCATATTTATTCTTCTTTTGATATTTATTGGGGAAAATACAATTAAACTAGAGGTATTGTGATACTTCGCCTACCATATGTTTATAATGACAAAGTGCATGTTTTGACCTTAGAAGCCCAAAATAAGTGTCAGATCAAAAAGTAATATAGGAAATGCACAATAGCATTATATAGTATGTAACAGGGAATCTGTGAAAGCATCATTAATCTATAGGAGGAGTTACGGATAAGAGATGGGTATGGGTATCCTCAAATCGTAACAGATGGACAGATGTACGGCTAGACGGACGGACACCCCGATCACTACAGCTGTATATGTCCACCCACTTTTCAAACGGGAGTATAAAAACTGTCATAAGCTTTGATGATCTAATCAAAA